TTTGAGACATCACAGAGACCACTTGGGGTTACTTTGCTTTGTTTACACTTTAATCGTATTTTTCCAGCGACATTCACAAAGTTCAACTTAACTTTTCACATGATGATGGACAATCGAATTTTTTTCACTTAGAATTTTCTCAAAGGCACCCTTTTAAATTTTTTTGACGTCGCGATGAACGGACGTGACGAACCACCCGTATTTCAACAATCTACAACCTCATTCTTTTAGATTTGTGCCTAAGGTCGATATTCGTTTATTATCCCTCCCCCCCGCCACTGTCGCAAACATGCCTCGATCACGTGGTATTGTTTACCCGGTGTTTTTGGCCTAATTTATCAAATTTGTGAAAAATTCTATTTTTAATCTAATTACTCTTACGCAACGTATTTGCTTTACGACTATTATTGTCTCATTTACACCTGCTTCTCAAGGTGTTTCGGGTGGCCTTCACTTTTTGTTTAATTTTCCGACACCGAAAAATTTCATTTTATTTACAGTCTCATATCGAATCTGCCTTTAATTGGAAGACATCGACGTATGAGATTTCTAATTACGTTGCACTTGTACTTTTACATCAGTGGAGCTGGCATGGGTGGGCCAGGGCGTGCATTGCCCCGAATGAAAACTAAACAATAACAAAAATAGCATTGCGCTAAAGTTTCCTGAATTTAATCGGTCCCTTCTCCCGATTTTCATTTGCTAATGTGATAAATCAAGGGTTTTTTTAATGATTTTGATTTGAACAAATTTCCTCCCCCAATCATTAAGTAGCGAAAGGATAGGTACCTCTTAAAAATGTGCACTATATTACTAACTGGCGATCAAAAATGAGTTGCTGTCGAGTCGCCTTTGGAAGTTCAAGTTAAATACGATTTCTCATTTAAACAAAAATTCCAAAGGTAACTCGAAAGCAACTCATTTTTGATCGCATAGTATATAGGTAACGGGCGATCAAAAATGAGTTGCTGTCGAGTCGCCTTTGGAAGTTCAAATTAAATACGATTTCCCATGTAAACAAAAATTCCAAAGGTCACTCGACAGCAACTCATTTTTGATCGCATAGTAGACCGAACACGTCAAAGCAATTCAACACAGGGATGAGTAATCTCTGTTGTAGAATGTTGGGCGCCATTTGAAATTTGGCTCAGGTTTTTTCCTGTTTTTTTGGGACACTTAGATAATCCGCAGAGAGTACCTATCCAAACTCTGGGAGAAACCTCTGGGCAGCACCTCAGAAACTGTTCGGTTTAAAGGGCTTTTTCTCTCGCTTTCCATAACGTTTTCTACTTTCTATGAATTTTAGAGGCGAGACTATAATTTTTACTTGCTTTCAATTTTAGAGGCAACAAGACCCAAACATTTAAAAGCAGAGCTCCGAACTTTACAAAGCAATTCCTGCTTCGACGGCGGCGCTTCAAGAAACAACGAGCTCTCGGCCTACAGAACCAGTTTCACTTAACTCGACCTCGCGCCACGCTCCACCAGGCAGAAGACCCGCTCACTTCGACGCCAGAATTCGCCGCGTGCACTTCGACTACCATTTGGTACGTATTGTAATGGGGGCATGCCGCCTTCATTTTTTATTTCTGATCTACAAAGTACATTAAAAATAAAAAGACCCGTGTGTCCTCAATTTTTATTTGCGAGTAAAATAAATCCAAAATAAATTATTGAAAAACTGTGTTTTTAGTCCGAATTTGAAACGCTTCAGTCTAAATACGTCACAAACCTACAACCAATCACGTAAAAGTGAGCCGGCAACCTTGTACGAGGATCTGACGTTTGTCGGATTTGACGTTTTAAGAGACATGTTTAACTGCATCTAACGCGAAAGTGAACGACTAGTGACAAGTGCCTGTGACAGGTGACGCAAGTTACAAATGACATTCTCCAATTCGTTATGTGATCTGAATGGTTCTAGGAGCTGATTGGTCGGGTTTATTACGTCACAGAGCCCGCCACAATCATATCGTTTTGAATAAACCCTTAAAACCGCACATGTTCATTATTTTTTTGCTAATCAGCCTTTATTTTTAAATAAACTTTTACTGTCCAAAAAAATGTTTTATGTTTTCAGGTACACTACGCTTATTAAATTAGAACTACGGAATTCAACTATACTGTAAACGCCCATTATATTCCATAAAACGCATTTTTTCGATACCTTGATTACCTAATGAAATCCAAAATTTCCACGTCCCCTGTGGATTCGGGGATAGAATTGATCCACGGTCATCTCTGCCTGTCGTAAAAGGCGACTAAAGGAGACCCTGTTCCGGGACCCTCATCAACGTTATTTCTTCTCACTTCAAATAATACCTTCAATAATCACTTACCCCAGCGATCACTATAGTAGTACAGTCCTATCTCTCCGCGAAATCCCAAGGTGTTCTGGCGAAACGTGCCGATGGGTGAATGCCAGTGCGTTAGTCTGTCGGTAACGCTAACGGTGCCCAAGTTCCGACTTGTAACGTGGGTTTTGTTGTTGAAACATAAAAATTTGGTGTGGACAAATACCATCCGCACATTTGCGCATGCGCGATTCTGCCCTTTTATGGCTAAGAATACGTGTACTAAATCTGGTTCCAATCGGTTCAGCCGTTTAGCCGGAAGTGGGAGTTTGATACTTGCGCATGCGCGATTTTCTATAAAAGCTCGTCAGCGCCAGTGTTGCCAATTTAGCGATTTTGCCGCTAAATCTAGCGTTTCAGAAGAGCAATTTGCGGGATAGTTTAGCCTTTAGCGGTTAGCGGTTTTTCTAGCAGTTTTCTAGTATTATGTGTCGAATTTCTTGGCCATATCAAACCTTTTAGCGATTTCTAGCGATTTTGAAACCTCAGTCTGGCTGGGGAGATTATCGGAAAGTTGGCAACACTGTTCAGCGCATCCTTTAATGTCTAAGAATATGTGTAGCTACTAAATTTGGTTTAAATCGGTTGAGCCTTTTAGCCGGAAATGAGAGTACAGACAGACATCATCGAGGTTTTGTTTGATTCGGATTCGTGGTGCGCCAAAACGTGCATTTTTGTCAAAAAAGTGTGGAGTAATTTTTTACGCCAATGCAATACCTCCTTTATTAACGTTCGGGTGGTAAAAACATAATGGATAGTGAAAGCCATACGAATTTTTATCGCCAGGTGGATAGGACTACTGGCTCTGAGACCTTTGGATCCTGGGCGCATATACTTTCAACTCCGGTTACTGGTAGAGTTAAAACTGACTAATCTTTCATGGCACCTCGATGTCTATCGATGTTTCTGTAATATTCGCTACAATACTGTTAAATGTTCAGTTCCTAACGCTGCATAAATATTTTTGAAGGTTGTTAAAAATTCTTAGACTCTTAAGGGCGACCATATTAAAGTTTTTAGAAGGCTATAGAGGACTTTCAATGATTCTGAGTAAGGTTTTAAAAGCCAAAGAAGGCTTTCAAATCCTCTACAGTCTACAACAACCTTGAAGCCTCTTGAAAGTCACCTACTCTTAAAGATTTAAAAAAATCTATCGAAGACTTTGGACGACTGCTTTCAAGGCTTTTAAAGACTGTTAAAATACTTTTTTAAGGTCTTAGCTATTAGAGTTCATCACTTTGGTTCATCCAAACGGCTGTGGAGACCAGAGAGAATATTTGGTGGGCCATGAAGGCTCGTAAATGCTTTTAAAGATTAAATGTATACTTCAGATTCTATTCAAAGATGTTTTAGAGATTTTTTGCGGGCACTTTTAAAGGGGATTTTTACAAAATATAAAATATTTATTGATTCATAGGAGATCCTTCAAATATTCTTCAAAAAATTCACTCGAGGAGGATGAACTTCTGAAGACATTGGAATGTTTGTGTTTCAAAAATTAATTTTCGAAGGCAAGATGCTGGACTGTACTATTGACCTGAAGTTTTGATTTAACGGAAGCATAGGCAACTTGTCATACTGATAACGTCGGAAATGAAATGATACGCCACTGATCTTCGACGTGTGCGATCGACTGAGCTCGATCATTTCCGGTTTCGATTCGTATTTCTAAAATGATACATGTAAACATTATGATTTATTTCTATTATTCTCCAAAAAATGGGTTAATTTCTAAGACGAAAACGCCAAAATGCGGTGGTCAGACACCCTTAATTCCGGCTGGTCTACCACTTTAATTTAACCTCGATAATGTCAGTTGATGTTTTTCGGAGACCCCTACACTGCTATATCCTTTTGAGCATCTGGATCTTATTATTAGTTGGCGGCGTGTACAAATACCTTGAACCGAAGCCAAGGTATCCCACCGCTTCTATTGCGACGGAACAATATCATAATCTCGTACTCGACGTCAAAACGAAGCGTATATTCAAAGTTTGCAATTTGCCCGACGACATTAAGAGCGGCGACGAAGGTATCACCGGCCCTCTGCCTCCGATTTCTTCATTTTGCAAGTTTTTTTAAGGTTTCGACTCGAAACAGTGGACCTTAAGGGGTTTATTGGTTTTAATTCGGCACGGAGATCGTGGCCCACTTCAACATGTCACGAATATTTCCTACGTTAATTGCGGATATTCCGATACGGACGCGCATTTGAAGCTATACCAGGTTTGTAATGTCGAGCAAAGATGACACTATACTAGATAGACGGTTTAAAAGTTGCTAATTGCATATTTAGTTCCAATGTTCCACACTCAAAACAGAAATCTTTATATTTGTAAGCGAGTTGTGGTGGTGTGATGCATTGAGGCGAGTAACTACTGATTTTCATTTGGAGTGTCATTCATTATGACTTGAATCTGCCCTGCATGCTGTCTTGTAATTTAGGTGTTGTTAGACTGGCGACTTGGCACTGTACTTCTACTTAGTGATCTCTCATGATCTAGTGACAGGCAGGTAGCTAAGGGTGGGCCTAGGTGCCACCCTATACAATTTGTACTTCAACTGAAGTAAAAATAAACTAATGAAAAGCAATGAGTACTTCTGTAACATCTTTTAAAACAATTTTCAGAACTGTATAGGCAATTTATAAAGCATTTTAGACCATACAAAGTGCTAAGCCCTTTTTAAATCCTTCTAAGTTTTTGCCAGAAAATCAGGTATTCTTTAGAACTGGCTACACAATATCTTTGGAAAGCACTTAAGAGAGAGAGTCTTAAAGCTCTGGAATTTGCTGACTTCCTGAGCCTTCTAGCACATTTTCTGCATGAGTACCTTCTCGGTTGGCCTACAATTTTTTTTTGCACGGGTTTACAAACAGTTTTTTTGTGATACTAGAAGTGACACCTAATGGTTCCTGGAAAGTGCAAAATTTGTCTGATAAGTATTCTTGCACGATTAGAGCGTTATGCGTGGGTGCACCATTCTGTTGAAACCAACAGTTTCCATGTTTTTTTTTGTGTGCCATACGTTGTTGCATTCGTAGTAAAAAATGCTACTCAATACAGTATGTACTTTTTTTAGGGCCATATAAAAAATAAAGTTGATGATTATTTTTTCGAAATGATTGTATTGAAAATCTCAGAACAGTAATAATAATAATAATGTCTTTTATGTTTTTGTATCTGTTGTAGTATTATCTTTTCATTGGTCCAATCTGTTGACACTTCTGTCGTGTTACAGGACTACCTGCACAATCTGACTGTGCTCGGTAAAGTGTCGTGGATCGGACCCGGCGCGTTCCACGGCTTTCCCGTTTTGCCGACGCACGCAACGCAATGCCAAATAGGACAGTTAACGATGCAGGGCGTCGCGCAACTCCTAAAACTGGGCCAAGTCCTCAGAGAGAGCTACGTCGGGATTTGGCAAAAGTTACTCAACCTGACCCAGTCGGAGATCGTCGTGTACAGCACGAGATATAGAAGGACATTTCAGTCGGCGCTTGCGTTTTTGTACGGCTTCGTTACCGGCGACACTTTGAGTCGCGTTACAATCTTGGAGAGCCAGTCGATGAGCTTCTGTTTCAGGGATTGCGGATGCCCGGTTGCCGATACGTTTTATAGGTGCCTAACGCTATGCTGATTATCTCACTTGCTAAAGACCGTTTGTTTAGGTCGCTGAGGAGGCACATCACCCGGCAGCTGCTTTCGCATCCGGCTGTTGCATTGCTTTCGGAGACGACAGGACGCGTTACCTTCTCGGTGGGAGCCGAACAGGGAATATTAGGTGCAGATCCTCATTCGGTTAGGGACGCTTTACTAACATACATCTGTCATTCGAGCGGTTTACCTTGTAACCTTCATAACTGTGTCAAGTACGTTCTCATTATCGTTCGCCTCTCGCTAATTGATTGAGTAAACAATCCGGTATTAATTTACAAACAATTTGTAGGCGTCAAAATGTAGCAGGGATATTTTCGTACACTGATTGGGTTAACCATCAGAAGTGGAACGACATTAACTGGCGGCGGTACTGTCTGTTGAAGTCTTACGGACTTATAAAGCACATAGTATCCCAAATGTTGCACATGGTGAGTATGTAACACACACACAATAGCACTAGCACAATTAAGCAAGCTTCTAATGAAACCACTCACAATTGGCTCGGATGCGATTAACTGCAACTCATTTAATTAGCCACTGTTAATTACACTTACTTAATTTGTGAGATTAAAATTTCCAAATTCGGTAGGAATTATAAAACATCAATTATATATGGCAACTAGTTTTTTTTATAGAATTCTAGTCCATAACTTTTGATTGAGACGTCCGATCGAAAAAGTACGAATTGTTTTGGATTCTACGCACCAAAATTAATACGAAAAAGTGTTTTCCCGAGAAATTTTGGTGCAGTCGATTTTTGGTAAAAAAGGAAGGTTATAGACTGCCTTTTTTTGAGGCCCGAAAAAAAATTGTCTCAGATCGACCCGGAAAAAAATTTTTCTTATAGAATGTGTCCTGTAGAATCCATAATTTCAAACAGTTCCAAGATTGGGCTACTAGTTCAAAAGTTACAGCCCTTTGAATTTTTTTTCGATATTGGTTTCTAGTCTATAACTTTTGATTGAGAAGTCTAATCGAAAAAGTACGAATTGTTTTAGATTCTACGCACCAAAATTAATAAGAAAAAGTGTTTTCCCGAGAAATTTTGGTGCAGTCGATTTTTGGTAAAAAAGGAAGGTTATACGCTGCCTTTTTTTGAGGCCCGCAAAAAAATTGTCTGAGATCGACCCGGAAAAAAATGTTTCTTATAGAATGTGGCCTGTACAATCCATAATTTCAAACAGTTCCAAGATTGGGCTACTAGTTCAAAAGTTACAGCTCGTTGAATATTCTTTCGAAATTGGTTTCTAGTCAGGGGCGGGCCAGGTGGAATTGCATTGGTTACGGGCCATTGAAGTGTAGTAATGAAGGTGGCGGGGGGGTAGCTCTGCGGTGCACCACAATAGTATATTGAAAGACAAGTGTTACAATGCGACCTATTGTAATACGACTATCTTGTGGCACGAGTGGCGACGCGAAGCGTAGGCACGAGTGTCCGCAAGAGAGGAGTATTACAATAAAGCATTGTAACACGCGTTTTTCATACTATTTTTTCTATTTCGGTGCTTTAATTTAATTAAAAAAATCATTATCAGAAACTATAGGGAACATTAGAACTAACATGTTTTATGTTGGTAACACTTTTTATGCCGTTAGGTTTTAGGTTGGCAGCGTAGTAAGACTGACATTTTGAAGTTCAAACGTGGAAGTACCCAACGAAGTACCTACTTGTACTAACTAGTAACTGCCAACTTAAGAGATGAGTTACCAAAAAAAACGACTATAATCACTGTCTTTGTACAACTGTTTTCGGAGTTGTACAAAATCATCATTGTGACACCGAAATAGAAAAAAACATTTTTTGCTTCATTTTAAGGTACTCGCTTTTCGGAAATCAATTACAATACAGTTTTTTTTTTAAATTGCAGCTGATAATTAAAAGTAACAAAATATACAATCCAAACGAGGCGCGTCGCCTATCATTGTATTTCAGCACTTTCATGCTACGACAAAAAATAATAAATTCATTGTAAAACACTTCAATTAAAACAGAATTTTTAAATTTTTTAACAACCTGACATCAACCCCAATTAGAGAAACGTGTTAATAATTTATTAATAGTGCAAGAAACTAAATACAGCACATACTTATAAATTTCCAACGGGCCATTATGACGTTCAGGCCAGGTGGCAATCGCCACCCGCCCCCCCGGCAGGGCCGCGCCACCTATGTGTGCGATGTGTGCGACGCACACAGGCGCCAAGACGCCAGGGCGCCAACAGTACCGAATTCAATACCTAGTTATAAGAATTAGTACCTCAGTTCGACATCTTTATAATCAAAACGTTTAAAACGGGAAAATTTTTGGAAACGACGTTCTTTTATTATTCGTACGTGACAAAACTCTAAACGTAAAGACCGACAAAGCTTGGCGGTGCGGCGCCCCGCGGGTGTTTGTGGGTCTAGATTGAACTATCCTTGTCTTCCTAATTCCTATATCTGCTTCAGTATAAAGTGAGATGAAACGTTATGATGCGGTTGCAGGGGCAGGGTAGGAGAATGAAAACATCCCCTCCCAAAAGGTTTATTATGATTTTCTAATGACTCATTTTTGCACCCGCACTGGCAAGTCGCTATATATCGGTTATATACATTTATTTATGATAGAGTTATTTATGATGGGCACCTTTATTTTGTGACCAAACTGCCGCAACCGTCTGTGATTATTTATTACGTACCTACACTGTATTTTTTCATTAACCAAAAATTTTCAATAAATAGTTATATGAAATGTGTTTACTGTATATAAATTAGCAAACGTTAATCTTTCACTTTGGCGCGTATTGCATGTAGTAATATAGGTAGGTAATGCATAATTTAATAATACCTTCAACAAAAAAGTTAGGGGCGCATCATAAATCGTGCACACAGGCGCTACTAAACATTGGCGCGGCCCTGCCCCCCGGGCCAGTCCGCCCCTGTTTATAGCATTAGAACTTAAAGCAGGTATTTTCACCTTCTATTTCCAACTCCTATAAGCAATAAATAGTTTCGAAACAATACTCTTTGTAATGAAGCGCCTCTAGATACCGGGTGTTCAATAAAACTGGTAGCGGTCATCCATGTACAGTGTGTTCATAAAGTCCGGTACGAAAACTGAGTGCTTCGTTACAATTTTTGGGCGGGTATTTGAGGCAACTGACGTCGGAAAAATATCGGACCAGTGTCAAACTTCAAATTTTTTAAGAGCGCACCTAACCGATGTAATCTCGACTTAATCGGCGGTTGTTATCTGTAACACATTCAAGTAATTATGGTTAATTATACTTTTTTAAATTCCAAATTCGAAAGTCCAGTCCTCTTTGGACAAGGATTACCTTGAAGGAACTTATTTAATTACATAAAAAGTTTAGTATCAATCAAAATTCGAATTACAATTTACCATTTACGAACTCCATAAATACATATATTAATATAAACGATTTTACTTTAGGTGTCGAACAGTGGACCATATCTAATATTGTACTCCGGGCACGATCACACCTTAGAGCAGCTGTCGACGGCGTTGGGCCTGAAGAGCGATCCTCACCTTTTACGTTACGCCGGGCGGATAATAATCGAGGTGTACAATAATAATCGGCAATTACTAAATGGTGCTAGAGACATGTACTTTAGGATTTTAAGTAACGGCAAGGACGTCACGCGGCAGGTGCACTTCTGCAAGGAGTTGCATAACGTCGAGCAGGACGTGACACTGTGCAAAATCGAGGACATTGTCAGGTTTATTCACGACGATTATTTCACTAGTTTAAATTTTACCAACTTTAAGGACTCGTGCGTAACTAAGAGTGTTTGAATTTGCAATTATTTACTATTTCCCATTTCCCCTCCCATTTAAAATGTTTATTGTGTTTGCGGACCTTTAGGGCATTCAAAAATATTACTTTTTCGAACCCAGATGAGAGGGACATTAATTGATCACCCCCTCCTCCAATTTAATTTTTGAAAAACTGTAATGGCGCAATTGTTCCTCAATGATTTTCGTATACTTGGACCGGATTTCTATGCACTATAATATATTAAGAAATGTATGCACGGTGCGGCTCAATATTAATTATCATATCTTATTTTTTTGTATTTTAATCCCATCGATTTTGTATGTTTCACAGTATTGCCTAAGATGCTGATTGCTGAATTACTTAAAAACATTAAGACACACCGTTTCGTTTCCGCGAAATTGTCATCAACTTTATTTCTTTAGATGACCCCTAAAAAAAGTACATACTTACTGTATTGATATCAAGTTGCATTTTTTGTTTACTGTTTGTTTCAACAGGATGGTGCACCCGCGCAGAACATTCTAATCATGCAAGAATACCTATCCAACATATTTTTCATTGTCTCATAGGTACTTTTGCATGATTAGGGCATTGTACAGGGTGGCCAAATAAGAATGCGAGTTACTGTATCTGCGAACCTGTCCATTGTAGAGGCTTGCAGTAAAAAAATTTGGTACTGCCACGAGAAAAACCTGGAAAATATTTTTAAGTTTTTGCAATGGCCGCTAGGGGGCGTAACTGCAATCTGGAATCTAAAAAAGTGATTTTTCTGTGAATTCTGCTATATTAACCTAACAAAAAAATGTCCGGTCTTTGAAGTTGACGATCATCTGAACCTTTTTTGTTTGACAATTTTTCCTGTATCTCTAAAAGTGAAGTGGTGGGGGGTATTCAAAGGTTTCCGTAAAGAACACCCTGTATCTTCGAAACGACTGAGCCGATTTTAACAAACTCGGGTTAATTGAAAAGAGTTATTCTTCGCCTAATGGTTAATTTTCTCAAAAAAAATAAATGCGTTGGTTTCATTTTTTTCCATGAAAAAGTAGCTAAATGATGCCTAAACAAGCTCGCGAAAACCGCATCTCGATATCTTGAGATATATAGTTTCTAAGTTGTTATGATGTGAAAATAAATGCATTATTATTATTATTATTAATGAAAGAAACATAAATCTCACTTGAAGGAGGAGTGTTCTTCGCGCCTCTTTCCTTGAAGTTTTTATTTTACTTCCTTTGCGTACGTTTCCTATATACGCCCTTTCTCCTTGACTTGACTCCAGGTTTTTTTTCTTCACGTCTCCCTTTCCTTAAAATGTTTATATATCTTTTGGTCATTGACCTTTCACATTTCTTTCCAGGGTGCTTCACGTTCCTGAATGTTCGGGCCTCCTTTCTTCATGCTTTGATTTGGACCCATTATATATTTTTTAACTCAACTGTTTTTTAATCCATTTTTCCACTCGTCTTTTTCTTAATCAAATGGCTCTTTACACCTTTATTCCTTCTCACTTTTTATTTATTTTATTTTGTCTCTATTTTTGAGTGGGCGGGGTTTCAGCTAAGGCTGCTCTACCAACCCAACCCACTTCAACTGAACTGCACCACCCGGGACGGCTTTTGTTTACATATCTCAAAAGCCCCATTTTACATTCCCTTTTCAGATTTTCTTCAAGCTTCCTCTAGAAGTTCGCAATAGTTCTAGTTAAGGGATTCTTTCTTCACACCTTCTTCCCTTACATCTGTCCTCTTTAGGTGCCCATGCTTCCATTACGTCTTTTACAAACTTATTTTGTGAGTCATCACTTCTACTTTTTTAGAATATATTCTTTTTTTACTACTCTTTTAGTTCTTTTAAGGCCGTTCACGTTTTGTTTTCAGTTTCATGACGCTTCCTTTGCGACTCTTGCACATGTCGCTCTTGGTCATAAGTTATCACAAAAAACAATGTACAGGGTGTCCCATTTTCGCCACTTCTATTTTTGTAATTGTTAGTGCTATCAAAAAAGTAGTATAGACTGCTCTTTTTGGGTCAATATAAAAATGCTAAAATCAAAATTTCAAAATATTCGTTTGCTTATACGGGTGAAAATAAAAAAATTGGCAAATTCAAGAAGACCGTATATTTTCTTAGTTAAAAGATTCAAGAAAATGTTTATTGCATTTCATTTTATTGTTGAATAATGTGCCGTTTTCAGAATAATTATACGGAGTTGGATAAAAAGTTATCAGATCTAACGTATTTTTTTTATGAGCCACTCTGTATAGTTTATTGTAAAAGAATAGCATATTATCTTTTCAAAAATATGATACACAATTGATGATATTAAAAAACATTGGTACAGAAAAATTCAAAAGTTAAAAATGTATTTTTTTGAAATTGTTTTTGTATTATTTTTAGGAACGCCCTGTATAATATGCATGCATTTATTTAGTCTTCCAAAGAAAAATGCAATTGCATAAAAATCCTGTCTTTATTTATTGGTGGAGGTGGAGGAGGAGGGGGTCAACTTAACCGTTCTCTAAAGTAATAAAAACAAGTTCATTGCTAGATATAAATAGGTACAAATCAGTTTACGAGTCGATTATCTTTACTATTCTCGCTTTGAACATTTAAAAACGTAAGTTAAAATTTTGCCACTCTAGTCCGCAGCCTACTCTGTCTTATTAGAAATTGAACCCTGGGTGCAACGTTTCCAAGGCCTCCACATTTATCCGTTAAATGTGGAAAGTGTTACTTATTGTGCATTTATTCTACTATTTTTGTTCATGGTTCAATACACACAAGCAACAAATTTAATGATATTGAATATTGGGGGGGATTTGGCATACACGTGGAATTATGTATCTAGTCATATAACGACGGTTAGCACTTAATTCGTGCAGCTTAATTTTTTACTGCAAGATATCTCCAGCAATAAATAAATTGAGTTGACAAAAATGATCTCGGCTTGCTTTTTAAACCGACACGAAATCATTGGTTTTTTTCCACAAAAATGGTGGAACTAATTGATAAGCACTGGAGCTGCGGTTATTCCGTTTAAATTGGATCAAGTGATATTTTTTATCAGCACAACAACGCTATCATATCTCGAAAATATATTTTTATGTTAGTACTTAAGTAAGTATATTACAGTACAGTCTTACAAGGGCACACATATCACTTTCTCTCTCTGAGAAATCTATGTACAATATATTGTATATTAAAATATAACTCTATATGTTTTACAATAATTATCCTACAGTCCCTGTGTTTTTCTGCCTAAAACCATCGTACTGTAGGTGGCGTTGAGTTGCTCCAAAAATATAAACGTTAAGACAGTATGTGGTCCCAGACGGGCATAATACGGTAGGAAACCTTTCCAAAGCATTAATGGGCCTTCTTTGGTAATTACCTTGAGTACAACGTCCATTCCCCCTTTATACTCTGGTTTTCCATCGATAATTTTCATGTTTTGTATCCTAGACAAAAGAAATAAGAGGTGTTTTAACTAGGAGCTGTAAACCTACCTAGTTTTCGCAATATCCACCGGCATGGAGGCAGTTGTTGTTACCAGACCTGACAGCATAGACGCGACAAAGTGTAAAAAGATATTTTCGTCGAAGTATCCAGTTGAGACCAGCAACTGTTTCGCTTGAGAGTAACTGGCCAATTGGGCGGCGTTAACTACCATTGCTCTTCCCATAGTCGGTCCCACGCCTCGCCACAATGCCAAAACGCCCTCCTCTCGGACTATTCTAATTAACGCGTCGAATACACTTTTGTAATTTCTACGTTCGGCCAATGGGAGACGCCCATCCGAAGTCATTCGGATCAAAGCGACCTCGGCGGGCGTTCCTAAACAGTTTGATTAGTTTGTGATGAAACAGTTGAAATAAGTTTACCAACAAACGCCCCGGCGACACCGGCACCCATTCCCAGAGCAGCTTTCATTATAAAAGATGGTGGTTTTCCTTCAGACGAGCACATCTCGAAGAGCCAAGTGTACACACCTAGCCGTGTCGTCGTATAAGTCGCCTGTCTGAGTAGACCGGCACTTAGCCCGGTGTACATCGCAAACAAACCCTCCTTGGCCAAAATTCCGCGGACCGCTTGGAATGTTGTCGAATACTCCTTAGTCGTACCGGCAATTTGCATTCGTGTCTTAACCAAATCCAAAGGCTGCACAAAGCAAGTGGCCCCCATTCTGAAAGTAAGCCCATTTGAATCCGTTTTTCCCGCCAAAACAAATCCACCAATAGTTACCCTGAAAGTCCTCCAAAAAGAAACTTGATGTAATTGGGAATAACTTTTTCATCTTTTGAACCCATTTTCGCCTAAATTGGAAATTGGTGAAACCTAATACGCTTATTATTTATTGTAAAGCGAGAATTTGAAATCAAATTTTTTTCTAACTTTACAAGCGCAGATAAATAGAGCAACTAAAAACGCTGAATGATATATAAAGGTCATAATTATGAAAGTGGAAATATGAACAGGTTGCCTGGTGGGGCTCTCGCATTCCTTTAATAAGCCAATTATCGCTTATGCAACCGTGATGCAGATATGCAATGCGGGTTGCCTAACCTCATAAAGAGGTCATTACATTCTGTCAAATCGAACCGTAATGATTTATGAATTTTTAGGGTTTCTTTTGCAAAATTTCGTCCGAGGCTTTGCAGGTTATGGCCAGTAACGTTCCCGAAATAAACTACTGCTGCGAAATTTGCGGTCTCGAAGGCCTAGGCGAGGATGAGCTTCGTACCCATACAAATAATGCTCACATCGAGGGGCAAGGTGTTTGCCCTTTCTGTCAGCTATCGGCGGTCTCCTCGGCCGAATTACTTCTGCACGTGAATCAGGCCCATCTCGACTATCTCACGCCGGAATTGGAGTGCAATATGGGTTTCATCGACGATGCTAGTCCAAGGTTCGTATTTTCAATCTATTATCGTACTGTAGCAGCGGATTTTAGCGATTGTAGTAACAGCACAAATGGGGAAAGTCATTATTCGCCATCTATTCGTTTCGAGAACCAGAAGTGTAATAATATTAATTTAAATTTATCATCGAAGGTAAGTGCCGTTGTATTGCTAGACATCGGTAACGTCCGCACTTGCAGAGTATTTTAAATGGTGATATTAGTCCTAGTAAATCCAGCCATGGCGAGGGATCGCCTCTTCGAACTAGTCTTAATCTTAAACTTCGAAGTCCCGTTCCTTTATTACATTGTCCGATGTGTACATATACGAGCGTTAGCCCGGACGAACTCGAGGAGCACATCAATAGGTAGGTAGTCAAATGGAGAAACGGGCATTTCTTTTTGAATCTCTGTGTTACTTTATTCTGTAGTTTTTGTGTGAAAGTTTACCAGGCTCTAATTAATAGATTATAAATGCTTGTTTCTGTATTTAAAGAAATAGCATAGAACAAATAATGATGGGAAATTTTCACTGCATAACTGAAGTGACTAAATGATTACAAAACGGCCAGATTGCCACACACTGGCACTACGCTTCGTTTGTCCATTGGCAAGTTTTCAAATTAATATTTTGGCAGTCGCCCCAGAGGTGACAAAAAATTGCTGAGTAATGATGGTTTGTAAATGAACAAATAGCTTTGATTGGATTGCTATTAAAATTCACCTGCCATTTCATTCCAATTGCATCGAAACTCACACTTCATTCCATCAGAGATCAACCTCAATGAATTAAAGTTGTGGTGCAATGAAGCTCACAAACTCTTTGGTTTCTATGACAATTACTTGTTATTTTCCATTAATTTCCACCACTTCCCCAATACGTGGACAATATTTGCTGGTAACGTGGACCATCCCCAAAACAAAATTGTAGTTTCCTAATTTTTGTATAGTGCAGTAACTAAAAACCTAACTCTGGCTACCTGGGTATCTATATTTTTGTGACACCCTGGGAGAAGTATCAACACTTTATTTTTTCTAGCCCACAAGAGATTTTGTCTCACATCATACTCCATACTGCATGCGGCTCTTTTGATATAAAATTGCGGCCCTCCGCATTTATCTAAAAAAATCTAGTTGATCTTTTTCACTTTTAATCTTATTTTATTACGGAATAAAAAGTACACTTGGAGCAAATAATTAATTTGTGACACTTCTTTACTTTCTGGCATTTTCTTATAGAATGTGGCGTGTAGAATCCATAATTTCAAGCAGTTCCAAGATTGGGTGACTAGTTCAAAAGTTACAGCCCTTTGAATTTTTTTTCGAAATTGGTTTCTAGTCTATAACTTTAGATTGAGAAGTCAGATCAAAAAAGTACGAATTGATTTGGATTCTACGCACCCAAATTAATAAGAAAAAGTGTTTTCCCGAGTAATTTTGGTGTAGTCGATTTTTGGTAAAAAAGGAAGGTTATACACTGCCTTTTTTTGAGCCCCAAAAAAAAAAATTGTCTCACATCGACCCGGAAAAAAAATGTTCTTATAGAATGTGGCCTGTAGAATCCATAATTTCAAACAGTCCCAAGATTGGGCTACTAGTTCAAAAGTTACAGCCCTTTGAATTTTCTTTCGAAATTGGTTTCCAGTCTATAACTAGGGAATGCAATCCCGCAGCAAAATCTCAATCCTGGTATTTGTGGGGTCGTTAGATGTTAATCCCGCGGGATCCCGGTATTTAAATAAATTGGCAAATAAGCAATTCTGTGCGGTTAACTTCTGTATTAAAATAAATCACTAATTATCACAATATTCAACAAAAAAGTACCTTCAGTCTAAATCACCTGTAAAGTTTAGTGTAAAGCATAAAAAGGTAAACTTCTAAAGTACCTCAAAAATCACGAAAAAAGTTTAACAATTATTTTAAAAATAATTTCTCCATTATGCGTTTCATTAACAAAGCGGTCCCCTTGGTCGACAAATTCCTCAGTCCCGCAAATCCCGCGGGATCCCGCTCCATTTATGTGTGGGATTAATCCCGCAAAAATGCTGCAGGATTCCGGTATTGCATTCCCTAGTTGACACATTGAAGTTTGGAAATTTTACCATTTCCTTGTGAACACCCTGTATCACTAAATCCAACTTTCTCATTATCAAAGTGTTGCGCTTTACTCGGATTAACATTATTGATCAAATTTATTTCTTAACTTCAAAGTGACTACGATTCATCAAAGTGAGGGTTGTTTATGGGGAATTATTAGGAAAAAAAATAATCAGATGACAACGTTGACAAGAAAAACAAAAAGTAAGTAGGGTTCCATATGTAGGTTTAATTAATGACATTGAAACAAGTAAAAATATACAGTGTTCTATTTAAAAAAAAACAGTTATTTATTTACACCGTAAAAATGGGACACCCTGTACATTTAACAATAATTTCTGTAGATCCCCAATCATTTATAGGTGACATTTGCATGAAATATCTTTTAATATTTTTACCAGGTATGAGCTTGGAAGGAATGACGCACTGTTGTAGGACCCTATACAGGGTGTTTGTGTTGGGAGCTTTAGTTAAACGTTTCTGGGAAAGTAAAATAAGTAGGATTTTAAAAATTTGTACTTAGGAGTTACTCTGAAGGCCGAATCATTGTAAAATATTTTCAAAATGACTGCACATAGATAGTAACTTCGTTATTTTAAATGGCACCCCCTACTTTTAATTGAATTTTTGGAGTCTACGTGAAATTTCAGTTCTTTTGATACCCACATATCGATATCTGTCGTTTATGGTTTTTAAGTTATTTTGACTTTAAGAAAAAAAATGGCGGATGCAGATGGTACCTTGATAATTGATTACTTGAAAACGGTTGTAGTCATGGCCAACCAATCTTTATCAGTTCATAGAGTGTACATTTAGTGTACTTTAAAAAAAATTAACTTGCGTATGACCCACGAACTTAATTCAGATGGACTGCTGATCAAACAATTGCATAGAGGTAGAAATGGCCCTAGCATGGGCGCGGCCATGATGTGCACGTTTTAGTTATACGGGGGTAAGAGTGAAGAGTTTGCTTAGGGGTTGATGTTTGCTTTCAGCGAATGTCGAAATTGAGTGCTGTTTAACCTTCTGAGGCGGCGATCTTCAAAATATTACAATATGGCTACATCTATCTTGCGTGAAATGTTCTTTTTTTGTCGTTAAATTTTAGTTGACCTGTGTGGCGCACTGTTGAGGAACCTCGACTGCGGTTCTAGGGGTCCCTGGTTTAAATCCGGGTTTGGACACGAATATTTGTAAATGTATGTGAGTTGGGGTGGTAGAGCACCCTTGGCTGAAACCCCGCCCACTTAAAATAAACATCAAAAATAATAAATTATGCGGGTCACTCTGTAATTGGGCACAAGCCTGTTGAGGAGCCAGAACAAGAGAGGGATAATAAATAAATAAATAAATTAAAATAAAAAATGGAGGCCGGGACATTTCGCCGAATGCCCACAACGCCGACACGATTTTTTGAAGGTCCATATCGCCGACTAGGGACACTACGCCGACCGTGCCCACATCGTCGACAAGTGTGCAAGGGACACAACGCCGACCATGCCCACTTCGCCGACGGACACTACACCGACCGTGCCCACATCGCCGACAAGTGAACAAGAGACACTAAGCCGAACGTGACCATAACGTCGACTCATACAACACTTCTTAATCAAGCTGGACGGTGTGCAACACCAAGTAGCTTTTGACGTTAGGTTATTGTAGGTTCAGAATATTTTTTTAACTTTTTTCGAACTACAGACTCATACGAAAATTCTTAATCAAACTGGACGGAGTGTGAAGCAAAGCAGCTTTGGATATTAGGTTATTTGTAGGTTTAGGACATGTTTTTTAAACTTTTTAAAATGCAAAATCATACACTGGACAGAGTATGAGGGACCTGGATTTTCGAACAGTCGGCGTTGTGGTCACGTTCGGCTTAGTGTCCCTTGCACACGTTTCGGCAATGTGGGCACGATCGGCGTAGTGTCCGTCGGCGAAGTGGACATGGTCGGCGTTGTGTCCCTTGTACACTTGTCGACGATGTGGGCACGGTCGGCGTAGTGTCCGTCGGCGTAGTGTCCCTAGTCGGCGATATGGACCTTCAAAAAATCGTGTCGGCGTTGTGGGCATTCGGCGAAGTGTCCTAGACCCAAAAAATGGCCGATTCTGATAAAATATCGGCGTATCGGCCATTTTTTATTGTATTTTTATTTTTGGTCTTGATTTTTAAGTGGGCGAGCGATACCGATTATATATCGGCGTATCGGCCTCCATGCGTAGCAATAAAAGTAGAAATTGCCTATTATAGATATTTTTACGTAGAACCAGTGGCGTAGTAAAAAAAATTTGAACCACTGCTTCCCGGATTTGACTCACAGTTGGTATTTTTTAAATGCAACACCCTGTATATCTTAACGTCAATTGTTTGCATTTTTCCTGGATACATTGATGTATTACAACCTACAATTTTTTTATACAGTGATGTTCATGTAGAAGGGATTTCCTATAGGAATTTCCTATGTCTACTTTTACAAGTTTCCTGAAAGACGCCTAATTTTATGCAACCAAAATAACTTCTTGAAACAAATGAAGATCTGGCTGTCCTATTAATTAATAATTTGAATATTGTTGCTTTAGCTTCACAGAAAATAAATCTCTTAAGCTCCTTTAACTGTTATCGGCACTATACCAATTGGAAATATCAACTTTCTCTTTAGTTGAATACATCGCACACGAACCGAAATTAGAATACGGAAGTCAAAGCGATAATATTCAAATTATTTAATATGACAGGCAGATCCTCATCAATATCACTGTATATCTAAATAATTAGGTATTATATCATATTTTTCAAAATTATGAAATAAGATGCTTCTACCGTGAGCACATATTGATTAGTTTTAGTTACCATGGATAAAATAAACAAAATAAAATCTCCATCAATCCATGGCCTACTATTTAAAAACCGCAAAATAAGGTTTTTATTTTTGTTTCATGGCTAAAATTTAAAAAAAAACGTAGGTTGTGATCAGAGCTGGGCAGTATTCGATTTTGTAAATACTTTTTAGTATTCAAATCCTTTAAAGTATTCAAATACTTTGTAATTAAATACTTTTATGGAAGCAAATACTTTCACAAATATTTAGTATTCGAATACTTCGCAAAGTATTTGGATACTTCGTAAAGTATTCGAATACTTCGCAAGGTATTTGAATACTTTGAGAAGTATTCGAATACTTTGCATAGTATTTGAATACTTAACCTTCCTTTTTTTTACCAAAAATCGACTATTCCAAAATTTCTCGGGAAAACACTTTTTCTTATTAATTTTGATGCGTAGAATCCAGACGATTCATACTTTTTCGACTAGACTTCTCAATCAAAAGTTATGGACTAGAAACCAATTTCGAAAGAAAATTCAAAGGGCTGTAACTTTTGAACTAGTAGCCCAATCATGGAACTGTTTGAAATTATGGATTCTACAGGCCAGGTTCTATAAGAAAATTTTTTTTCCGGGTCCCAAAAAAACGCAGTGTATAACCTTCCTTTTTTACCAAAAATCGACTACACCAAAATTTCTCGGGAAAACACTTTTTCTTATTAATTTTGGTGCGTAGAATCCAAAACAATTCGTACTTTTTTGATTAGACCTCTCAATAAAAAGTTATGGACAAAAAATAAATTTTGAAAAAAAATTCAAAGGGCTGTAACTTTTGATCTAGTAGCCCAATCTTAAAACTGTTTGAAATTATGGATTCTGCGGGCCAAATTCTATAAGAAAATATTGTAACGGAAATGCTCCAGACATGACGTCGCCTTTGGCGCTCTGGAATTTTCTACGCGCGCGATTATTCGAGAATGTACTGGACTTACATTGCTTGCGTGTATAAATGGTTGCGGACCGAACATCGCGGCAGTCTACTACCGAACGAGTACGTAAACATCGAGCGCGAAAATCTGATATAAATTGCGAAGTGTGAGTGATATAAATAATCGATATAAATTGTACGGATTTTATAGTGTTTTAGTTCTGTTTAATAAATATTGATATAAATCGAACCCCGAAGTTATAAATCACGTTACAATATTTTCCCTGGTCGATCTCAGACAATTTTTTTTCCGGCCTCAAAAAAAGGCAGTACTTTTAAGTTATTCAAATATTTGAGAACAAGTTAGAAATGTTTAGGGAAAGTTTCCTTTGTCACAAAATCAAATATAAAAATCCGATACATCTGAATACCGAACTCGATAGTCTACGTAACTTAAAAACAATAGGGACCTTTGTTATATCCTTAAGACCATGTGTACCAATTTTCAAAGCGATCGCACGTTTCTAAACAAGTCATGCACACGGACAAACGGATGGTCAAAAATGGATCTGTTCCAAAATCGCTAGGATTAATTTCAGAAAGGCGTACGTATCATGTGTTAAGGATATAACTGGTATAAGAAAGGTCCTGGTAGGTACCTCCTATATAATACCTAATATAATAATAATAATACGCTTTTACTCCCCTTAAATTTGTATATAACAATAGAAATATAAAAAAAGCTAACCCCATACAAAGTATAACTTGATTTTTTAAGTTGCATTAAGCCTTTTATCTAGTATACTATTTTAAATTTTTAATGTATTTGAATGACAAGTATTTGAATACTTTTTACTGTATTCGAATACTTTTTATAGTATTCGAATACCTTTGAAAGTATTAGAATACTTTTGAAAGTATTTGAATACTTTTCAATGTATCTGTATCCTGTATCTAGTATTCGCTTGTGCTGGACGTAAAAGTATTTAGTATTCAAATACTTTTTGAAAGTATTCTGCCCAGCTCTGCTTGTGATACATCAATGTAATCAGGAAAAAAACACACAGTTTGGTGTATCATTTTAAGGAATTTAAGACTATTTATAAAGTGTTCTTCGCGAAAATGTACCACAAGCTCACAAGTAAAAAATTACCCCCCACTTTTGACGGAAATACTCGTTTTGGAGCACAAGGAATCCAACTCGAAACAAAACCTCGATATGTCTGTCTATAACTTCTGGCTAAACAGATGAACCAAATTTGGTACACATGTTAGACACAATACATACACGATACATTTACGAAAAAGTGAGCTAGTATCAACGCTTACACCATCTAGACGAGAGTTCCAGATACTATTTTTTATACGCAGGGAGCAGTACAGTGTAAGAGAAGTCCGGCTTCAGTTGAGTATAAATAGAGCGCAAATTTCAGAATTAATCAACTTGTCTATGACTCGTATCTGTATCTATAAGTGGTTATCAACAACAATAATGAAGTTGGACCAGTGTCACAAATTGTCATCAAATTTTTCACGTGTCAATAATGTATTTCCAATTCGATTGTCCAGCAATCCGATGATTTACGACTTGATGTTTTCAGGCAGCACTTCGATTTAACATCGCCGTCCGTCGGCGGTTGTACAGGTGAGGTATTCGCCTGTCCGCTCTGCTTTAAAGCGTTCGATACCGCGCCCGACCTAGAGCTGCACGTCAACATCGAACATCGAGACATCCTTTCGCCGGCGAGTCCGTCGAAAACGACTTGCCCGGTCTGCTCCATGGTTCTCGACAATGACGTAAGTTCGAGCACGTGCGTAGTCGTTACGCCTAAAGTTAAAGATCAGTTATTTTTATCAGTTTGTTATTAACGAAACAAATAATTATATGTAGTATTCGTGCAAATGCAGAGCGAGGAAGCGGCGCGGCACGTCGAATCTCACTTTCCCGCCGGATCGCCGTTGCAGGTCGACAAGGCGACGCTCAGGGAACGAGAGCAGCGGGAGTTTGAGCTGCTGCGCGCGCAGTATGGGATGGACAATCAGGGCAATTTTCGCGAGCAGTCCGTTACTAATATGCAAAGGGCGGTGTACGCGGGCGAAATGAGCGTTTCAGATTACTATGAGAGAACTTTAGACTTACGGGCGGCGGAAAGCTGTGGTGTCGACGATGGCAGTTCTGTTACACGTAACTTGGTAAGTACAATGAATTCCACAACCGTCTCCCTACTTTGAATAATATTCGCAGGTTACAAAAGTGAGAAGTTTCAGTAATACCTCGCAAAATATAGTTCGGATTTTAACATGTAGCAGTGTGGACCATTACGCTTCATCGTACGGCGACAGAGGCTGGGGTTGCGGATATCGAAATGCTCAGATGCTTATATCGAGTTTGTTGACGCACACAGGCTACAATGACAAACTGTACAAACTCTGGCAAGGTCAGAAGCCGCCGCGCTCCTCCGTTCCAAGCATATCACGTCTGCAGAACCTAATCGAACAGGCTTGGTCTCAGGGATTCGATATTCAGGTAACGTGCGTTTATCTTCGCGGCACGTATTGACGATCTGAAAATCGTAGGGCTCCGAGCAGCTCGGTTCGCGATTAATAAATACAAGAAAGTGGATCGGTGCTACCGAGGTCGTAACTCTACTTTCATTTCTAAGAATCCGTTGTCTCCTAATAGATTTTCACACGCCCACCGGGCCGGGTGGCACGCATCCCGAGCTCTTCCGCTGGGTCCTGAAGCATTTCGAAAACAGCGCGGCGGGAGAGTTCACTCCTCCCCTATACTTACAACATCAGGGCCACAGTCGTACGATCATGGGCGTCGAGGTGCATCGCGATGGGACCATTGCCCTGCTCGTACTCGATCCGAGCCACTCGCCGATGCAGATGAGCCAGCTTTTGGACACGTCGTCCGGTTCGGCCGCGATGCGCCTCTTGCGGAAAAGTGAGGCGTCGATGAAGGCGCGTCAGTACCAGGTCGTGGCCGTTGTCGGAATGATCGACGGGGATCAACAATATCAGGTACTAGTTGATGTAATTACACATGCAAAATGAACAATCAAGTTCGGTCTTTCATGAGTCAACTAATATAGAAACTTACTGAGAATGTAAGTCAAAAATTATATGTACAAGCCTAATGCACAACCACGATATAGTCCTTGCTATATTCATTACCCCCACGTATTCTCAGTATGACGTCATTCAAAATGGCCGCCATTTTCTAGTGCCATTCTGTTTGCGTGGACTTTTTAGCGAAAATGCTAAGAGTTATCGACAAAGGTTTCCAACAAAAAATGTTCAGCGTTAAATTATCTATAACTGTATTTATTACCAATTTTTTGACAACTCAAACCGTTAGTCCAGAAGAATTTCTTTTTCATTATTCTGCTATAAGGATGGCAGTTTTTGACATGTGTTTCTTATTTGTCCAATAGGGGTTTACAGTATACTTGAATTCCGTAGTTCTAATTTAATACGCGTATACCTGAAACCATAAAACAATTTTTTGGACAATAAAAGTATATTTAAAAACAGTGGCTAATTAGAAAAAAAATGAACATATGCGGTATTCGGGGTTTATTCAAAACGAGATGATTGTGGCGGGCTCTGTGACGTAATAAGCCCGACCAATCAGCTGCTAGAACCATTCTGATGACATACAACTTGGCAATATTGCAAGAGAATGTCATTTGTAACTTGCGTCACCTGTCATTCAATTCAAAAATGGATAACATTTTTATTTGACTTTAAAATTCGGAATGCTGTAAATTGGTAACTGCATCATAATGCGTTTTCCATTGAGATCTCTGAAATTGGTGAACTTCTGTCGAAACAGGTCGAGGTGAGGCACATGCTTGAGCACTTAATTTCGGTAAAAGGACAGTAAATCGCTGCGCATCAGCGAGGTTTTATCAACGACCAGGTGTGATTTGAAATGGCAGACTTTAAGCCAGCCGCTACTCCAGTGGGTCTAGGTACGAAGCTTTTAAAGAGGGGAGCCCTGTAGACTTCAAATTCCCGTACCATGAACTCTTGGGAATAAGTTGAAAGGTGCCTTCAGAAAATCGATTTGACATGTCCGTGCTAGAATACCTGAAATACAAACTAATTGTATTTTTTTACGATTAACACTTACCGTACTTACGTACCACGTAGTGTGTAGGTCATATTTGAGCTTGTACAGGTACTTTGAACAAATACAAGTGCTTGTAAAGGGTCCAGTAACGAGTGGCCTGCTTTAGAGGTTATGACAACAAATCGATATATTTCGTTTAGCAACTTACCTGAATAATAACTTCTGTTCATTCCGTACGGAGTAACACAAATCGCAATCTCCCAATACACCCAAAACACATATAAAATACACCCAAAATCTGTCAAGTTGAATTAGGAAATCGGCCTACCATGCAGTGTTGCCATAATTCTCAGCACGGCTTGTAATTATAGACGGCTGTGGTTAGATGCAGTTAAACATGCCTCTTAAAACGTCAAATCTGACAAACGTCAGACCTTCGCACAAGGTTGCCAGCTCACTTTTACGTGATTGATTGTAGGTTTGTGACGTAGTTAGACTGAAGCGTTTCAAATTCGAACTAAAAACACAGCTTTTCAATCATTTATTTTGGATTTATTTTACTCGCAAATAAAAATTGAGGACACGTTTTTTTTTTATTTTTAATGTACTTTGTAGATCAGAAATAAAAAATGGAGCCGGGATGCTCCTATTACATGATAAAAATAAAATATGTATTTGTTACATTATTTTATTAGGTAATAAAAATATAACACCATGGGGAATAACATAGGATGTGTACCTAATAATTATAACATTTTAAACATTTATTGCAATACATTATTTGTTAATAGTGGTCAATAATATTAAAAGATGAGTCAATTCTCAACCCATAAAACTTCTATTTTTAACCTTTGTGTTTAATTTTAAGCCAAAAGTTTTTATTTCCTGAATAACAGTTTACATTTATAACGGGTTTCTGCAATTATATTTGTCTTTGTCGCATTTACAAAACGAACAACATGCAATTTCGGTGTCTCTGTACCATTGAAATGAAAATTCGTCCACATACATATCTCAACGTAGTCTGATAAATTTTGACGGCATCTATTTTTTCAAACATAAGTGGATCTTATGTTTCTTGCATATGGTTGAAGTCGACTAAATTTTTATACCAGTGGCGGCGATACCGACTTGTTTTCAGGATATCATTAACAGTGTGTTATGGGTGGTGTAATGTTTCACAATGTGCAGGGTCGAAAATGTTACCTCCACGTCGGTACGCCACTGGTTTTGGTATTTTCAGGATGTATAGAATTGTCAATGTTACCTTCACGCTGGTTTCGATGTTTCATATTGTTGACTTGTTGTATCATAGTTGCTCCTTTGGTTTTCCTCGATTCATGGAACTTACCTTTTTTACTTCGCCTATATAAATATATGTGTTATTATTTATTTATTTGTTCTGGGCCCTCAACAGGCTTGCGCCCAATTACAGAGTGACTCGCATAATGCTTTTTAGAGGTGCCTCTGCAGAAGGTCTTGATTTGTTCTATACTACTCCAGTATTTACCTTGCGAATTAGGAAAACTGCAGGAAAAGCTAATTCGGAGTAGCCGGAGAATGCTCGAAAAACTGGTCTAAGGTAATTCCCATCTCTGCCACAGATGAGTAATTCACCCCAACCTAGGTTCGAACATTCGACCTTCGGATTTATAGTCCCACGCTCTACGACTGAACCATAAAGCAGGTTGACAGGTGTGCCACGCTCTTATGACCAACCCTGTATAACATTCTAGGTTAAACCGCAAAGCGCGCTTAATTGGTTTGAATTTGAAATTAACAACAATTTTAATTTTTAATTTTATATTTATTTTATAGCATATGTTAAATTGACATTTTCATATGTTTGAATGAGTAGGCTAAGCCGCTCTTTAACCGTAAGTGTAGCTAAAGCGTGCACTTAACCCGCAAGAGTACTTAAAGTGAAACAGATGATTGTGCATTTTAATTATGTGTCATTCTTAACTCAAATGGGACGCGGAGCAAGATATAAAATGACGTTCAGGACATATGACAATGCTGTTTCTATGAAAACGACTGCGACGGCAGAACCTAAGCTTACCATTTTTGACCTCTATAACTTAAATTCAGAATTGTCAGAAGCTTTACAAAGAATTATACGGCGTCTGCTATAAAATAACGTGTTGTATTACTATACACGACGATAAAGGGAAACTAACCAACTGCGCCACTTGGGAATTAACATCTTTCACTCAATGGTTAAAATATCCCTTTATCGTCTTATATAATAAATAACTATTATTTCCTTAACGTTTGATTACAAAGTGTATATACAAGGTAATTTAAAAATATGTGTTCCATCTCAGTGGCCTTATTATCGGGGGATCCGGGCAAGTCAGATTAAAGATTTCTTTTGTAAATTTGAACATGTCGGGTGCAAATGTACTCGAATGTTTTTTTAGAACATTAGGATATATTAATAATATTTCAATGTGTGTAGGGGTTACAGCATGTGTTCAGTGTTGGATGCTGCTCAATACACACGGTGGGGTAGCTAGAAATAAGAAGAACATGCCAAAAACTGCTGTCTTTATAGCCGAATAATGAACAAATCATTAGACAATCATGATCATTAGATCATACAGAAATAGCCAATAGAAACAAAGGTAAGGTTTCATTAGTTAGCGACGCATAATAAACTTTTGTTTCTATTGGCTATTTCTTAATGATATCATGATAGTAAAAACTAATGATAATGATTGTATAAACCCACCATTACAAAGGTGCAAAATTGATATGCCAAATTATGTCATTTAGATCATATCGTTTGATACCCAACCAACCTTAGTGGTACTGTTTCAATATGTTTTCAATATGACTCTTTGATGCATAAGGAATAAGTAAGTGAAAACGCAATCTGTTGCAAATAATTTGACGCAAAAGGCATTTAAATAGAAGAGAGAATAAACGGCAATAATAATAAAAATTAATCTAAACCACCATTTCCCTAGAAATTTAAAAAAACTCCTCATTGGTATGTACGTACTATGCTATAAGAAATAAGTTGCTGTCAAGTCACCTTTGGAATTTTTGTTTACATGTGAAATCGTACTTAACTTCCAAAGGCGACTCGATAACAACTCATTTTTGATCGCCCGTTACAACTGCAATGCAAAACCGATGTAAATTAATGCAGCATTGCACAGAATAGAATTTTTCGAAGGGCGAATATGTGCACTTTAATATATACCGTCCCTTCTACAAATGTTGCTAAAATTTTGTTTAATTATGGTTGTTGTGTTTTTTCGAAGTTAACATTTACAATTTGTTTTGAAATATCTAGGGAAAATGTCGTTAATAAAATAATAGAAATAATCGTCGATTTCCATTTCAATTAAATTAATTAAATTCGTATTTTTTTAGTATTTCTACAGGAACTGGCGAAGTAAATTATGCGTTTGTTTTTATTGCATTTTCATGTTCAAACGCCTACGAAGCAAAGACTAATTAACTGTTTTAAGGTGATCACGTGGCACTTTGTTATTTTAGTTATGCTCATTAGCGATTGAATCACTTAAATCCTTGATTTCTACATAAATTAGAATTATATAATTTTTTAAGTGAAAAGAGATACGGCTTGTTTTCGCAGAAACAATAGCTTGTATATTTTGTTTATTAATATTATTTTGTATTTTTAATTAATGGAAACGTCGCGCCGCATCATTTTTAATTTTGAAAACTTTTTGCTTTTGAAAGGCAAAGATTTTTTCTATTCGTTGCCACAAAGGCTTAGGAGTATTAAAATATGTTCTTTTATTGTACTTTTGGGGCACTGTATAAAAACCCTCATTTACTTGCATTCGTCTATTCTCCTGGAGTGTGCGCCAATCAAATTGATTTAATGATCAGGGCGCCTACGATCCCCCATTGTCCGATTGAGACCAGCGCGCTCTAGTAATATTTCAATTAATTCCATTAATTAAGAGAACTGCATACTTTTCAATCGATCCCGTCCAATTAGCCGTTTGACAGATGGATTAATTTGTTTTCGCTCTTACGAAAGACTGATAAAATCCCCCCCCCCCCCTCAACTTTGCTCCAAAAACTCCCGTGACCCTTATGCAAACGTCCTAAGTAAATTCCTAACTTTTGTTAGTGCTATTGCTATCAAAAAAGTAATATAGGCGCCATGCGCTTTTTTGGGTCAAACATAAAATAGTGAAATCAAGATTGGAAAGTATTCGCTCAAGATACGGGGAAAATCAAAAAATTGTTCAACACATAAGTTCGAACCTAACCTCATCTTTTAAATGGGACAACCTGCAGATTTTAATCTAAAATGATAGCATATCTTATTAAAAACACTTTTTAATGGAACGCCTGCATATTTTAATCTAAAAAAATAGTAAAGTAAATTCTTTTTTCAAAAATATAACACATAAATAAATGATATTAAGAATTCAAAAAATTAAAAAAAGATTTAAAAAATTTCAAAAATATTTTTGAACTTTATAACATCTTTCTTTAATCTTTTTGAATCAATATTAAATTCTTTAGTGTTTTTGTAAAGAGAATTTAATATGCTATCATTCTAGGTTAAAATGTGCAGTGTTCCATTAAAAAAAATGTGGTTCAATAACTTTATTTTACCTGACTCTGTATATTTATTTTGAAAACGGCAGATTATTCAAAAATTATTATAAACAAACTTTTGTAACAAATATCTTTTAATCCAGAAAATATAGGGCCATCCTGAAATTGACAATTTTTTGATTTTACCTTTTTAAGTTTTACCCAAAGTGATAGCACGAACAATTACGGATATAAAAGGTTCAAAAGTGGGACACCCTGTATATAGCAGTTGTTCAAAAGACATGTTCCTTGCTTTTGAACTGTAAAGATTTGAGGTTGAGGTTTCTTGGGGACGGATATTTCAGCGGGTACGAATTTTTCGTGGGCGAACTTTGAGGCACAATGTACCGAGGATTCAATACTGAATTATGAAAGTTTCTTGATGAAATTATTCTTCCTGTCCGTATGTCAAGGACTATTAGTAACGGGCGATCAAAAATGTGTTTCTGTCAAGTCGCCTTTAGAAGTTCAAGTCAAATACGATTTGTCATGTAAACAAAAATTTCAAATGTGACTCGAACTAATTTTCGAGTGCATAGTAGTAGTATAGGCCATCCGAGAAAAAAATTGTCTTCTGTGACAGAGATGGGAAGGAGAATGGCCCGTATGCATAAAAGTAAGCAAATGCTTATACTTGCAAAATTCAAAGTAAATACTCGTAAGTGCTCCTTCGCACTGGGCGACTTAGCAGCGCTTCTAAGCAGAAGGACAGAACGCAGTGCAGCGCTGCTAAACCATGCTAAACTGACCAGTATGAAGGGGCAGTTACGAGCATTTACTTTGAATTTTGCAAGTATAAGCATTTGCTTACTTTTATTCATACGGGCCATTATGTTGTATTTTAATACATCAATTCGATCATATGTCAGTTTGGCATCATTGCTGCGAGGAACAAGGATAGCGCTATCGAACGCGCTATAGCGTCACCCTGAACTTAGTTGGGGTGGATGGTACTGTGTGCTTACTTTGGTGGTGCTGGATACTGTATAGTGATGATGGTCAGAATGTCATAGTGGGAGCAGACTTTTGTAACAGAGGGTACTGGTTCTGTGGCACTAACGTAACGTTGATTCCTTTTGACTGCTTGTTGTGTTGGTGCACAAGCAACGTACGCTAACAAAGCGCTATAATTGATTAAGTAATGGGTGGGGGGGGGGGGGAATTTTGCGGGCCACAAAGCATTAAGCGATCAAAAATTTGCTTCTCGTCTGATACTAAGAAAACAGTTGTCATCGCTTATGTAAATTTTAGGATTTTCTGATGGGTAACGTATAAAAAACTTACATCAGATCAGAGAACGGGACTTTCCACATCAACGCACGTTGCGAGTGGAAAACATTTCTAAGAACTTAGGCTCCTCCCACTGTTCTCAAATTTTAGCGAGCGCGTACCGGCACCGCGTCAATCGCCAACTAACGTACTTCTTTTTTTTTGTAGCAAAGCAAGATCCTGAGAGGACTGAGGATACCTCAAGATCGGTGAGGGTGAGAGGCGCGCGTTCCCGGTCCCACTTACCCGCCGCCTTGTGGTTCACCAATATCGCAAATTTCTTATATTTTTACGCTCTTTGTGTGTTTGTATTTCGAGCTTAAAAATATAAACGGATCTTATACACAACTATATCACTATTCAGAAATACTCTTTAGTCAATTACTGCCTTTAAATTAAATACCGTAAAGAGTACAAATAATTTAGGTACCTAGAGAAATTTGTGCCGTTCCTTCTTAGAAATTAAAATGGACCAATCGGGAATAATGGTGTGAAATCGAGAAATGAGAAGTGTTAAAGATAGAAGAACGCGCGCATTCTTAAATTTTCCGCTTCTCTTTGGCTTTAACGCTGTATTTAAATGCCCCCCCTTTTTTCATTGTATTGACGCTAATTTCACATTTCAATCTGTTATTTCTGACACGAACTGTATATATGTTTTATCTTATTAAAGTGTTTTACAAAGTTTTTTGTTGTTTTAGTGACCTTGTTGCGTTGTTGTGAATACCTGAAACCAGTTACTACGCTTGTTTATTTACATAATTGTGTTATAATTATATGGAAAGATTATGAGGTCGCAAGATTGTCTGCACCCATTGATATTTGGTGTATTATGCAAATGGAGAGTCTAAAAATAATCTACAGTACTATTGGCTGGGAGAGAGAGGTGTGTGCCTATTACGGCCACAATTACCTACGGTTCGGTGGCTCCCAAGGTATGGAAAGTCCAAGACCAAGGTTAAGAAAAAATATCAGGATGGGTGCAGAAAAAACTTTTGACTACTGTAATTAATAGATAATATACGATTACTTAATTTATTTACATGTTTAATATTGATACCATGGCCGCAGCCTCACTAAAATAACCTTGTCCTAGTCCTGAGTAAAAAATTTATTGCTTTACGTTATTAGGGAGTTACATTTAACTAATTAATTCATTGCGCTAAATATATCACATTTTTTCATCCGCTTTAGCGTTTATTATAACTGCATTTTGGAGAGGCTGCATTTCGGTGATCTTCGCGTCGGTAATGCTCGGTTGTCGTTGTACCGAATTCCATGGTTGTAACTCCCCAGAGCCGAATATCGTGAAAATGATCGCGGCGCAGATGTAAATCACCACCAGCATCCAAAAGATGTACGTCCATTGCTCGATCGTGCCATTTTTTTCTGTGATTTCGGCCACGACGGTTGCCGAAATCCAGCCACCTAGCGACGAAAGGGTGTTGGCCAATCCCATGATGGTACCCGAAAAATTGGGGGCGATGTCTAACGGGCTCGAAAAGTAACCCCCGACGACCCCTCCGTTGCAAAAGAGCGTCAGTGTGAATATGGCAATGCTAAAGTTCTCGTTTACGTGCCAGATTGCTTCTATCGCCATGAAGAGTGCTGGTGCCAGTAGCGCAAATAGGGTGAATGATTTACGTATGGAGGTGGTGGAGTATTTTCCGGTTTTTCTCAGACGATCCGCTGTCCAACTCGATAAGACCGCCATGGCATATTTTCCTACAAGTTTTGATCTAATTAACACTTCCCATTTGAGTACTTACATACCGCAATAGGGCAAACTGGAGAAAAAACCGTTCTTCTGAATGCTCACGTTGTAAACTTCCTTCATGAACAACGGAAGTTGATTGACGAGCGTGAAATAGCAGTAAACCGAGCAGCCATGCGTTAAGGCGATTGCCCAAACGGGCATGGAGGTAAAAAAGCTTCTCCAGGGTATGTGCTTCGGTTTCATTCCCGAGCCTTGTGCCTCTTTGATTTTGGTTTCAATCTCGTGCCTCTCCTCGTCACTTATCCTGGGATGCTGGGCGGGTGAATCGTAGACCAGCGCAAACCACACGAAAGTCCACGCCAGTCCGACGCTTCCCGTCACGTAAAAGACGCTTTCCCAACCTAACGAATTGATCAAAAATCCGCATATCGGCATAGTAATCGCCGCCCCTAGCGCGGACGCCATTAGGTGCGCCATAAATTTCGACCTTTCTAACGGCGGAATCCACTTCGCACCTAAAGGCGGCAAAGCGGGAAACGAGGCGCCTAAACAAAATCCTACCAGTGCACGAAATACCGATACTACAACATACCCGCCATTGCACAGCAGTGGCGTGAAAAGAGTTATAACGCTCGCCAGTCCCATTCCAAAGCCGAGCACCTTACGTGCCCCGATCACTTCGGATAAGCGTCCACCCGGCAGCTCAGTTAGGATGTAGCCCCAAAAGAAACTGCCGATTATTTGACCAGTTGCGTGTTTATCCCAATCAAATTTCGTACCGCCACTACGAGTTTCAGTGAAATTTGTCGCGTTTGCGGTAGTACCGTTGATCGTAGTATTGCTCTTCTCGACCATATCCACCAAGGCTATTGTTATGTTAACCCGCAGCATGTAGTTAAACATAAATCCTGTCATTACCATTATGTGCAGTACTTGCCGGCATGTTAGTAGATCTAAAAGAGGCTGAGGTTACACCGCGAGAAGTTGCGCTAGATGCACTTACTTGTAAGGCTTCGCCTGATTGTTGGTTTACCACCCTCGAGCGCTGCTGATGCCATTTCTGCAAATTTTCCAATCGTTAGATCGAAGAAAACTCAACCAGTTACATAATGACCAAGCGGCAACATTTGCAAAAAAAAAGGTCAGTTTACGAGAATAGCCTTGGCAAATATGTGGTAGAACCTGTTTGATGGTCTTTTCTTAATTTGAAATGAGAAGGCTTAGGTTAGTGACTGGTGTGTTAATAGTGAACAATTTGAAAAAAAAAACGCGCCGAAGTTTGGTCACCTCCGTGACTTACCGCCTTATGCTAATCCTGACACTCGCAATGAACGTCCGTCGAAGTAACTTAAAGCAAAAATCAAGTCGGACTGGCGGTTACTCTAAGATTCATTTACTGTAGATTAAGTTTGCGCACATGCGTCATCACCTTGTCTTCGTTTTCTTGCTTAAAAGTGGTAGGAATTTTAAATTTACAAAAAAAACTGGTAGCCCGTCCATCATTCGAGGCGCGTCATTAATATCGCGCGCAAAAAATTTACCGTACAATTTGAAAAGTGAAAACTCGAGAGCTGTTTTTTGGTTGGTTCTCGCTTTCAATGATTCCCAATATTCCTATTAATTGCGCTTCGAGCACGCGATGTCTTGGTTTTGCAAAAGGTTAATATTTCAACATTCACAATTATCTTAGAGCCTTGAGTCATATACTGAGATCCAGTTTAAATAAAACTGCAATACAAAAAAACGATTCAAGGAGCTAATCTGGACTAAGTACTCACAATAAAGTGACATTTCAGATCCACTCTACTTCTACTTGTATGAAAGGTCAAAAATTGATTGAATGATTGATTCTTGATTGTGGATATGTGTTATTTTTATACCGCTCCCCTTTCTACTCACCTTCAGCAACCTCCTCTCATAGGTAGCTAGGTATATGTGGTGAGCGCATTTACGTGACAGAATCTTTATTATGTCATGTGGAGCTGCAGGGAGTGTCATTTTGGTAGGGATGATCCCAGTGGCAACGATAGGTACTGCGTCATAACACCATGACTCCACACCTGAACCTGAAAGTACCTACCTACGTGAAGGATGTACGTCTCCGGGTAGGTGGAAGTTTGGCAAATTATGATTGATCTAATGGAAACTCGGGTAGGCCCTACTGGCCCCCACTTTTTGAATTTTTAAAATTTTTATTGCTTGGAGGTGTGTCGACGCGCTGCGATAGTTGCTGCCTCTGTAGCGTTGTATTGCGTTTGTTATCTACTCATCCGTGTAGGAGCGGAAAAGAATACTTCTACCGCAGAGAGCACTGCGTGTCGTAAGAGGCGACTAAACAACTGCAGTTCGGCCAGCAACTTCGAGGATTGTTGGTAGAAGGAGTTAGTAAGGAAGAACTAGGTTTAGAACAGTTCAGAAACATGAACATTTCAATCTTGGAGAGGGGGTTTTGAACGGTTTTCTCCTTGGTCAAAAATCTCAGCAATTGTTTGATTCATCTCAGTCATATGGGACCCAAAAGCATATATTTGCTACGCCAAATCCCTTCCATTCTTCCGGTATTTAAAAAAATCGGCCCTTCTTACATTGGATACTACATCGTGTAAACTGTTACCTACATGTCAAAAAATACATGCTACCGAATTTATATTAGTTTCATTCTCTTACACCCATATTTTGGCACCTAAAATAAATTTTTGTATGTTATGCCCACCTGGACACTCTAACCGTAGGGCCTAGACCAATCTAAAAAAAAATTGATGCAAATGCGGAAAGAACTCCAGTATTACGAGCTTAAGTTTGCTTTTTGTGTCCCTATTTGTGGTTTTTGGAAGCCGGATTTTTCGAAAACCGCAGATTTCAGTTTAATTCAGAACCGCATTGGTTCATTTTGAAGCCGCTGGGAGTAAATATAATGAAAAGTACTGCAGAAAATATGCTTTGATAATATTTTTTTAATTTTGAGTCACAGGAACGCGATCCCTATTTTCGTAAGGAAACATGGTGTTTCCTTACGAAAACTTTTGTTTTTTTCTTGCACTGTAATTCCTACCGCTCCGTTAATTGCAAGGTGAGCTTTTAATTACAAGGACGGGAGCTCATCATTGGACACCCTTGTATTGCTCAAAGGGCTGTAACTTTTGAACTAGTAGCCCAATCTTGGAACTACAGGCCACGTTCTATAAGAAAATTTTTTTCCGGGTCGATCTGAGACAATTTTTTTTTCGGGGCAAAAAAAAGGCAGTGTATAACCTTCCTTTTTTCAAAAAATCGACTGCACCAAAATTTCTCGGGAAAACACTTTTTCTTATTAATTTTGGTGCGTAGAATCCAAAACAAGTCGTACTTTTTCGATCAGACTTCTCAATCAAAAGTTATAGACTAGAAACCAATTTCGAAAGAAAATTCAAAGGGCTGTAACTTTTGAACTGGTAGCCCAATCTTGGAACTGTTTGAAATTATGGATTCTACAGGCCACATTCTATAAGAAAATTTTTTTCCGGGACGATCTGAGACAATTTTTTTTTCGGGGCAAAAAAAGGCAGTGTATAACCTTCCTTTTTTCCAAAAATCGACTGCACCAAAATTTCTCGGGAAAACACTTTTTCTTATTAATTTTGGTGCGTAGAATCCAAAACAATTCGTACTTTTTCGATCAGACTTCTCAATCAAAAGTTATACGACTAGTTTCGACAAAGAGCTGTAACTTTTGCACTAGTAGCCCAATCTTGGAACTGTTTCTACAGGCCACGTTCTATAAGAAAATATCTTTTTTTTTTCGGGGCAAAATGGACCAAGCTCGGGAAAACACTTTTTCTTATTAATTTTGGTGCGTAGAATCCAAAACAATTCGTACTTTTTCGATCAGACTTCTCAATCAAAAGTCCAATTTCGAAAGAAAATTCAAAGAGCTGTAACTTTTGCACTAGTAGCCCAATCTTGGAACTGTTTGAAATTATGGATTCTACAGGCCACGTTCTATAAGAAAAAATTGTTTTCCTGGTCGATCTGAGACAATTTTTTTTTCGGGGCAAAAAAAAGGCAGTGTATAACCTTCTTTTTTTCCAAAAATCGGCTGCACCAAAATTGCTCGGGAAAACACTTTTTCTTATTAATTTTGGTGCGTAGAATCCAAAACAAGTCGTACTTTTTCGATCAGACTTCTCAATCAAAAGTTATAGACTAGAAAAGGAACCAATTTCGAAAGAAAATTCAAAGGGCTGTAACTTTTGAACTAGTAGCCCAATCTTGGAGCTCATCATTGGACACCCGCAGGCCTGGTATTGCTCTTTTACTCTTCCTTACAAAGAAGCAGGGCGTCTTTCCAGGAGTGTTTCGGTCACTTTTTTAGGCGTTTTCTATGACGGTCAACGCACTTCCAACACAAGAAGTTTTTTGGCGCTTCTCGGAGTTTGTTAAACTTCTAGGATGCTCTATAGAAACCACTGGAGGGCACTCTGAGGCGTTCCAGGGTTTTACCAGAGCTTTATGGGGTCTTTGTAGTGGATGATATTGCTTTTCTACACTTTTCTACGGTTCTTCTTGAACTTGTTAGGTATTTTTAGGTTAGTCCAAGATTCTCAGAACCTTTTTGCGAGTTTTTGGAAGAGGCATATTTAAAAATCAAAGTATTTACTAGTCTCCCAGTCAATAAACTTTCTAGAGCTTTGTAAAGCAACTAAAAAGACTATGAAAAAGGACTCCCTGCCTTTTCCATAGTCTTTTTAGTTGCTTTACAAAGCTCTAGAAAGCAAACAGACCCTATAACATGATCCTATAGAGGGTGTGGTGTCGGCATTACCCACTTTGAATTGATTTGGACCCCGAGCAAAACTAAATTTGCTACTAATAGATCAATGGGGATAATATCAGAAGTGATGGAATAAAAATGCGTTTGGTACCAAATCATTTTTGCTCGACAATTCTTCTATAAATTAATTTCTATCTTCCGAGTTACATAATGACTTCCTGCTTGAAGCTTTCCAATAAATCAGCTATTTTGCATTTTAAATAATCGCACAAAAACCGTTTTACATTTTAAATACTTCCTCAATGCATTTTGCATTTTTTGAATAACAGAATTATCTTTTACCGCTGGAACGGGACGAATGCGGGAAGTAAGTTGTTGTGTGAGATATATAAATTCCCAAAAAGTTGTGTAAAAGTCTGCAAATTCCCACAAAGGTTCCGCACATGTAAATTTACAGTAAACCGTTCCTCGTATGTAGTTATCTAATGTATTTTGTTTAAATAATATACTTCTAACTAACAACACGCATCTTATTTTCTCTGCGCTACCAAGAGTCCCTTCTGGGCTTTTGTGTATTTCCGAACTAACACCCTGTATAGTAAAATTTGAACTTTAAGCGGTAATAATTTCGAAAGTAAGTCCTGGACGCAATGGCGTCGTCTATGAACAATTGCGTGGACTAAGAGGACAGCTCGTTACATTACCGACCGAAACGAACGAATCAGTTGTCATGTTCAACAAATCGCAAACGTAGTGGTCTTAATTTATGAAAAAATCCACTTAAATGTGTAACAAATCGATCGTATTTATGTTGAAAAGAACGTTAACCGGTTTGTTTTCGTACGTGCTTTAAGTTTCAACAGTCACAAGCGAGCAGTAAGTATCGTCTTGGGGGATGCACCGCGAGTGCGAAGTTGTAGGCGTTTAATGGCCGTTTGTTGACTTCCCTAACGCACAAATTATTAAAGGCGTATGTTTTAGGTGGTGATTTCAGGTCGTGGAAATGACCGAACAGGAAGGGCCGAAAAGTCCGGATGGCGGCGGGAAGCAGAGGGTGGTCCTGTCCGAGACCGAGCTGAGCGGTCTCGCACAAAACGAATTGGTCGACCGTTGGAAACGTCAAGATATTTACGTGAGCGGTCTCGAGGAGAAGTTGGGCCAACAGGAAGGTAGATACTCTATCCACGAATTTGTGGAATATTTTGACTTTTACTATGACTATACTTGAGAGTAGCAAATTCGTGTTGTCATTTATATTTAATGTTGGTTAAGTTAGTTGTTGGTGAAACGAGTGTAGGGTAATTTTTATGCCGTGGAGTGCGGTGCCTATTTTAGTGAAGTGCGGAAGTGCTAATGCGCTCGTGATTGCAGGCGATATTGCAGATCTACGTCAGACGCTCGAGAAGGCCCAACTGCAGCTGTCCGAATCTCAGCAACGCGAAAAGGTGCTGGTGCGGCGGCTCGCCGCCAAAGAACAGGAGTCGCAGGACTTAGTGGTTAGTAAACGCTTCAGAAAGCGGTGGAGTGGTTCAAATGTTCACGACCGAAAGTGGTTTATCTTTACAGTTTAGTGTGTGAAAAGAAAAATTTTTAAAACGACTTGGGTACTTTTAGAGAATCAGTCTCTTGGTAGCGACTTTTTGACACTTTATCACTTGAAGGAAGGTAGTGCTTAAAATAAGTTTGTAACTTGTCCACTTGGTGGCATGGTGTGCTCTACAGACGGACATTCGCTGTGTATCTGACTGTAATTGTTAGTAATTCCATTGTTATATCTAGTGCTGGGGTGTCAAAGCTCAGCTTGTTCGTATGTTACGAGAACAAGGCATAGGTGGGGCATTATGTGAAATACAATACTTTACACTTGCTTAATTATATTAAGCCAATGGACTATCGTGACCATGGGTCACTAAAAAAAATTGCTGGGAGCATTTTTGGAAATGGCCATACTTAATTTTGATGTCTCTAAATTGGTCTGCTACATTGTTAATTATCTTTGATATGATAAAGGCATCTACAATCACAGTATCTTGCTTTGATGCATACCGTTACAGTTTAATTTCTGTTGCTACTATCTGGGCAAGATGTTGTGTCTGTAGCGAGCATCCGTCTGATGATTTAGATCTCAGCACTGAGACCACATAGAAAATTGCGGTTTTTCTTCATGTGACATTATTTTTGATTTTTTCAAAAAAGGTCATAACTTTAAACTTTTATAACGACAGACAGAACAGGTGTTTTTTTTTACACTTCAACAAAGTGATCGATTCAATCCCACCTGCTCTGGGACCTTCTGTATAGTAATATTGTTGGGTAAAGGTGTGGTCATTGAAGTAAAGCAAACTGCAAAACAATTTTGAATTCGATAGGTAGATTGATCATTTCAAAAAAATGATTCATTTGTTTAACAAAGCTTGGGTACCCTGTTTTATGCGTTTTTTTCATTACGTCCAACCATGTGAGTAGGAGAGTTAAAAAATGGGTTTAGTATAATCGTATTAAATATTGGTGTTATAAGTGTCAAAAGTCACGAGTAAAAATACGCGCAAGTGCGGTGACTACCACTTACTTGGCAATCTCTCTTTATTTTGCAGTTTCAGCCAAGGCTCTACCAACCCGCTTAACCGAAAATCCCTGCTCGAATATGGATTTGAAACAGTTTCTCTCATTTATTGATCCAAAACATCAAGGTTTATCTTACACTACCAAAACCAATAAAATGTGGCATGTTCCATAAGAAAAGCACCAAGTTTGTGTTACACAATTAAAAATCTTTTGGTTCATGTTGGAGGGCGGTATTATGACCACTTTTTCCGTACGTCCGTCCATCCGAAGCCTTAACTACTAGGTACTACAGTTTTCAAAATATTTAGTTTGTTCTTTTTGCATTCGGTAGCTTATAGCTTTGGCATTTGAGCCAAAAAAGTCCTGACGATTAATTTGCACATGCGCTAAGTCAACTTTCTTGTATATAGATATTTTTTGACATGTTGACCGCAGATGCTTCTACTAAAGACAAACATATCGCATATTTATAGCTCACTGGTAGAGCATTGGGTTATAAATCCGGAGGTCGGGTGTTCGAACCTGGGTTGAGGTAAATTTTTCATCTGTGGCGGAGATGGAAATTACCTTAGACCAGTTCCGAGCATTCTACCGGCTACTCCGAATTAGGTTTGCCTGCAGTTTTCCTAATTCGTAAGGTAAATACCGGAGTAGTATAGACCAACTTAAGAGCTTCTGCAGAGGCACCTCTAAATAGCATTATGCGCGTCACTCTGTAATTGGGTGCATGTCTGTTGAGGGCCCAAAACAAGAGAGGAATAATAATAATAATAATATTTTGAACATCAAGTGTGCGCATGCGCAATGTCGACTTACTTTGCCTTTGTTTGTGAAGTAGACGACGCCGCGATACAGAACCTACATCGTAAAAACGCGTTCTCGTTTGCGATTCTACTCGGCGCTGACTGAACCGGATCGGAAAAAAACCGACCAGGTGCGAAGAGTTTTACGTGTGGCGAGGTTTCTAGTAAAGGGAAACATATCGCATATTTTAAAGATGTGGTGTGCGCATGCGCAGACTGCGCAAGATCATTATTTATCGAGATATTTCTTTAAAATTTCAATCACAGATGCTTCTAGTAAAGACAAGCATATCGCATATTGTAAAAATCAGTTGTGCGCATGCGCAAAAATGTCAACTTTCTTATTTATAGAGATATTTCTTTAAAATTTCAATCACAGATGCTTCTAGTAAAGACAAGCATATCGCATATTGAAAAAATCAGTTGTGCGCATGCGCAAAAATGTCAACTTTCTTATTTATAGAGATATTTTTTTAAATTTTAAGCACGTATGCTTCTAGTAAAGGCAAACATTTCGCAATTTTAAACATCAGGTGTGCGCATGCGCAGAAAAGTTTCTTATAACAGTATTTATGCCATAACTGATTTTTCTTTATACACATAAATAGTCCTTTAAGTGACCTTTCGGGAAGTACTGATCATTCGATTGTCCTAAGTTATTAATATTGAAGGCTAAGCTTGTTTCTGGTAGGTAGTTTTGGCTTCTGGGAGCATACGAAAAGTCGAATACTTTTCAGCAGTTCGCTGAGTTTGGAACGCCCTGTATAGTAATACTGTTGGGAAAACTCCTTTGCTGATCACACTGCTGGAGAGTATTCCGGTACTACGTGCTCCCCTAAAAACGCTTCTCATTAGCACTTGTACCATATTTTGCGAGAAACGACAGATCAAACTTAGCAACACGATCCTGTGGGGTATCGAATGCTCCTCAGGACAGCAAGATCGACTGTCCTTTCTCAAAAAATATCGTGTCAGTCCTGAAGGCTATGGGAAAGATAGTAACGAAGCGTTGGGGGGGTGTTATAGACCCTCAAGTCCTCCTTTACTGATGGTAGTATTTGCTGGGGGGTATTCCACACTTCCCAGACTCTCGGTACTATATTTTTTCCCAAAATAATTAAGACTGAGCTCTTGTGGGAGAACTCAGTAAATGGGGGGGGAATCTCTATTTGGATTTGAGTACCATGTAACTTATAAACTTTAGCACCTTCAAATATTTTTAGTCATACAGGGTGTTTCAGCAATGCGTTTTGGATGTTAATTTTGGTGTTTAAATTGAAACAACGCGTTTATCATTTTTTTAAAATATTTTTAGCGCATTTTCCAACTCCTGTTGGAAGGCGCTATTATCACCACTTTCTCCGTCCGTCCGTCCGAGGCCATAACTACTTCTACAGTTTGCAAGATATTTAGTTCGTTCTTTTCACGTTCGGTAGCTCATAGGTGTGGCACCTTAACCAAGAAAAATCTTGACGATTAATTTTTCGCTTGTGCAAACTGAGCAAAGTCAACTTTTATTTATGGGATGCTTTTTAAAATTTCAACCACAAATGATTCTAGCAAAAACAAGCATGTCGCATATTGTAAAAACAGATATGCGCAAACTGCGCAATGTCAACTGTCTTATTTATACAGATATTTTTTTGAAATTTTTCTGGTAAAAGGCAAATATATCGCATATTTTAAACATCAGATGTGCGCATGCTATTTATACCTTAACTTATTTTCCTTTGTATACATAAATAGTGCGTTATTTTTCCAAAAATTAAAAGTCTTGAAAGCTAAGCGTTTTTGTGGGAGAACGTAGTACCGCCCCTCAGCATACAAAAAAGTCAAATACCTTTTCCCAAAGAGTACCATGAGAGTGCTAAGAGTAGAGCAAAAATAATTATCGAACCAAAATAATTTGTGAGAAAAGACTATTGAATTTTTGCAACACAATCTTGTGGGGTATCGAATGCTCCTCAGGAAAGGAAGATTCAAATGTTCTTTCTACAAAAATATTGTGACGGTCTTAAAGGCCAAGGGGAGGTATTATAGAAAGAACTCTCAAGCTCTGCTTTACCCATGGTAGTGTTTGCTGGGGGGTATTCGGGACCCCCCGTTACGATATTCTTCCCCAAAATAATTTGTGAGAAAGGACCACTGAACTTAGCATAAGATACAAGTATTCTTTCCAAAAAACTATCGTGAGAGTCTTGAAGACTGAGCTCTTTTGTGGAAGAATGTGGTACCTGGGGGGTTCCTATGTGTGAGTAGAGTACGATGTAACTTGTAAACTTTAGCACCTTCAAATATTTTTACATATACAGGATGTTTTATCAATGCGTTTTGGTGTTTCAATTAAAAGAACGCGTTTTGTTTGTTGTTTTGGATATTTTTACGTTGAATCCAGTGGTGTAGGGAAAAAAATGTTTGAACCATCTTTTCTGAGATTTGTCCCAAAGTTGGTATTTTTTAAATGGAACATCCTGTATATCTTAACGTCAATTTTTTGCATTCTTTTTCCTGATTACATTGATGTATCACAACCTGTAGTTTGTTATATGATAGGTCTATCATGAGGATCTCCGAAACCATAGCAGATACGACGATGGTGAAATTAGAGAAAAGATGCGCAATTAAAGAGTTATTAGCGTACTTTACAACAAAACCAGAAAATTCCGATTACTTTCTAAGATATTCCCGAAAAACAGAAATTTTCCAATTTCGTTTTTATTTTTTTCTGACACCTACTTTATTTCTTTGTACGGTCTGTAAAAAAAGTACACACTCTATTAAGTAGTATTTTTTATTACGAATACAACAACGTATGGCACAAAAAAACAAAAGTTTGCAACGCTGTTGGTTTCAACAGGATGGTGTACCCGCGCACAACATTCAAATCGTGTGGCAAATTTCCTGGAAAATGGAAAATTCGTCCGATAGGTATTCTCGCACGCTTAGAGCGTTGTGCGCGGGTACTCCATCCTGTTTAAACCAACAGTTTCAAACTTCTGTTTTTTTGTGTGCGCCGTATGTCGTTATATTCATAATAAAAAATGCAGTGTACTTTTTTATGGCTCATATAAATAAATAACATTAGAAAAAAATACAAACCGAACCGGCAATTCGGCTTTTCTGGCATATCTTCGGCAGTAATCAGAATTTTCTGGTTTTCTTCAAAGCATGATAATAACTGTTGCGCAACTTTCCCCTAATTTTACGATCGTCGTATCTTCTATGGTTGCAGAGATACCTATACCTATAGTAGACATCTTTATCCTGGACACGGTGTATATTATATCATATTTTTCAAAATTATGAAATGAGTATTTCTACGGTCAGCAACTTCTATTGATTAGTCTTAGTTACCATGGATACAATAAACAAAATAAAATCTCCATGAATCCATGGCCTACTATTTAAAAATTACAAAACAAAGTTTTTATTTTTTGTTCATGGCGAAATTTTAATCAAACGTAGGTTGTGATACAACAATGTAATCAGGGAAACGAATGCAACAAAATTGACGTTAAGGTATACAGGATGTTTGGATATCAATTCAGAGATTTCATACATAAAAATTCAAATTCAGAGAAATTGTAAAAAATACAGAAATTCGAATAATTCAAAAAATTCTTAAATTGATAACATTAAGACAATCGAGAAAAATTTAGTAACGCACAATCATTCTCAATTATTTATACAAGGGGTAACAGGAAACAATTTTAGAAAAAAATTTAAATATTTAGTTCAATAAATATCGATTCAAATATAAAAGTGAAGGGGCCAAAATGTTCCGTTTTAAATAAGTTACGCCTCTAAAGAACGTAATTTAAAAAAAACTTCATGGGAGAGTAAATATTAGGAAAAGACAAATGTTCAAATCATGGTTGCACTATTTTTCCAGAATTGTCTTCACGTTTTGAAAACATTCCCAAAATTTGTTGAACTGTTTTTTAACATGAATTGTACTAAAATGCGGTGGGTGTGGAGTAGAAGCCCGACTGCAGCACTTAACGGCCTCTGGTTCAAATCTGGGTTCATCCATGGATATATGGTAAACGTACAGTGCTTTAGGTTGGTAGAGCAAGCCTTGGCTGAAACCCCGCCCACTTAAAAATAAATGCCAAAAACACTAATTTTTTGGAAGCACTTGCCAGAAGAAGGCAAATTTAGTGAAGCTATAACAAATTCCTAAAAAAGAGACAATTTAAAGACATCAAACTTTCATTAAAAATGCTTCTGCAAATAAGGTCTCCAGCTGCTCCATATAAAAACTCGACAAGAAGTAGTATACTTGATCCGTCTTTGAATGTTATATTCTTGTCAAGTGGTTTCCCAAAATATTTTAAAATCGGTAGATCTTGAGATTTCAGTTCCTCATGGACACGATACGATCACAGTTCAACTTGCCTACACTTGAGAAACAAAAAATTGTTTAATTTGTGATTTAAAATGTCACTCGCTATGGAGTCGTAACAAAAATCTTTCATGTAGCTCGGACTAGTAATAGAAAGTGTTAACGAACATTTGAATCACTGCACCTGTAGGTGTACGAAGGGCTGTAAATTAACATTCTACTTTAAAGTGTCAGGTAAACGAACTAAAAAGTGCTCAAATTCCGACATCGTCCTCGTTGCGATCGACGCTCTTAGATCCGGCCGTTAACAGTTTCCTACAGTTGTTACGTAACGAACTCCAGACGACGCGCCTACGGCTCGAGGACACGCAAAACGAACTGTCCGCGTGGAAGTTTACGCCCGACTCGAATACGGGCAAGAGGCTGATGGCGAAGTGTCGCCTGCTCTATCAGGAGAACGAGGAGCTCGGAAAGATGACGAGCTCGGGTCGCATCGCCCTGCTCGAGGGCGAGCTCGAGCTGCAGAAGAAGTTCTCGGAGGAGGTCAGGCAGTCGCAGCAGGAGTTGGACTCGTATCTGACGGACTTAGACGAAGATGTCGAGGGTATGCAAAGTACGATACTGTTTTTGCAGCAGGAGTTGCGCAAGGCGAAGGACACAGCGGCCGCGTTACAGAAGGAGAATAGTACACTTAAATTACAGAATGGTAGGGCGAATGGTGACAGTGTTTGTGAACAAGAACGGACGGACTCGGAATCTGAATGCGAAAGGACTCGTGTTAAGCGAGTGCGAAGGTCCTCTGTTCTTAGTATTGACTATAATGAAGATGACACTCTTGTTATTAATTCAAATGGTGACGTTGCCATGTCGTCAGATGTAGATTAGAATGATTTTAATTTAATTCGTTTTTTTAATTTTTAATGTGGCCATTTTTTTTACTAAAAAAAACCACCGTAATTTCTTACTATTTTGTGATTCTAAATGTAAGTATAAATATACTGACAATTAAATTATGTACATATTTTCCGTGAGTTGTTAAAAGTATACCTATCTCTTCAAAATTATGTGTCTCATAATTTTGTGGGTCGGCTTTTCACATAACTTTTAGTTTAATACATTTTTTTTTACTGTAGTCGAAAAACAATATAAATGACAAGGTATCACAATTTTTTAATGCTTTTTATGTATAATAAAAACTATTATTCCTACTTTTTGCTATTGCCTACCAACCACTTTTCAGAATAATAAAAAAAGTGGTATGTTTGGAAGCCAGACTAAATGAATAGCTGTGGCATCCAAAGGTAAGTGCATCATAAACAATTGCTAATTTTTTCCTATTCTACTTCACGGCATACATTGTGCAGAACATTAAAAATTTTAGGGGCACTCGTTCAAACCTTCTACTTTCTCTTAGTGAGCACCTCTCTGGCACGTCGAGATATGAGGGACATTCGCTAAGGGGTAAAAGGACCGAAGTTGATTGAAAACTTCCTTTTTATCTTTCATTTGCTGTAATTTTAATTTAATTTTTATACAGGGAGATTTACGTAGACCGTTCGGTGGAGGTTTTGAAACTTGCAGTTGAAATAGAAACTTGAAATTTGGTTTACAGCCATAATCGACCATTGCGAATTGAAGTAAAACAATTTCAAAATTGCGCCGCTTCTTAAATAGCGGAAGTGACGCCATTTTGTTTTTTTTTCAATAGAAACATACAATTTTCTCAAAATGCGCCATTTTATTCTGAATTCAACGCAGGTTTAGATATTCAACTGTCATAGATTTTGACATTTATGTCAATTTTTCTCTAAACATTGATGGTGTAAAGGTCAATTGAAAAATTCATATCTCTTAAACTGCTCAAGATAAGTGAGTGCTCTTTTGTATATAATATTTGTAATATTTTGAGTGGGCTTGAAAGTTTCAAGGGCTGCTGCGATTTTTTTTAATAATTAAAAATTATCAAAAACTTCAATTTTTCAAATTGCAACTATGTACATGCTTTTGTTGGAAATGTAAATGAATGTAGAATTTTAGGGCCACTTTTATTAACATTCTGTATACCCAGGGGCGGACTGGCCCGGGGGGCGGGTGGCGGTTGCCACCTGGCCTGTAGATCATAATGGCCCGTTGGAAATTTATAAGTATGTGCTGTATTTAGTTTCTTGCACTATTCATAAATTATTAACACGTTTCTCTAATTGGGGTTGATGTTAGGTTGTTAAAAAATTCTGTTTTAATTGAAGTGTTTTACAATGAATTTTTTGTCGTAGCATGAAAGTGCTGAAATACAATGATAGGCGACGCACCTCGTGTGGATTGTATATTTTGTTACTTTTAATTATCAGCTGCAATTAAAAAAAAAACTGTATGGTAATTTTCTATAAGAAAACTTTTTTTCCGGGTCGATCTGAGACAATTTTTTCTTCGGGGCTCAAAAAAAGGCAGTGTATTACCTTCCTTTTTTACCAAAAATCGACTACACTAAAAATTCTCGGGAAAACACGTTTTCTTATTAATTTGGGTGCGTAGAATCCAAATCAATTCGTACTTTTTCGATCAGACTCAGATCAGAAAGGAGTACTGTTTTTGTGGTGCACCTCAGAGCTCAGAGCAAAAAGGCACTGCATGTCACAATTGGCGACTTATCAAAAGCTCAACCAAAATCGGTTAATATCTTCTGGTCGCGCATGGGCCTTAAAGCTTGACAAAAATTTAATTTTTGTGATCATTTTTTGAATTTGAGGTTTTCAGAATGTAATATTTTTTTTACATCTTCAAATAGAGTAAAAACGTGTTATAATTTGGTTTAGATCACTTGATATCTTCCGGTCGCGCATAGTGCCTAAAACTTGACAAAATATATTGAAAATGTTTTTGTTTTCTGTTTGTTTCTACATATCTTAAATATATTTTTATCCAAAATCGTCCTGAAACCTTCATTTTCATGTCTACTTTCTGTCAGGAAATTTTAGTTTCCATGACAGAGGCAGAGTAGACTACGTTTCCTGCCGCTTGTCACTTTACCGGCCGCATTTTTGACATTTCCAAATGTCTATAATGACTCCTGTCATCACTGACAGATTGACATTAATCAAAAGTTCTATATAAAAATTGAAATTTTATATTAAAAGACGATTTCGGGTAAAATGTAATACAAAATTATCAGTAAAATGTCATTATCTAACTCGAAAGTTAAAGTACTTCAATGTTTCCTCGCCAGTAATGTGTCATTTTCCTGACTTTTTATGTAAATAACTATTTTAACGTTATACTTCTGGTATCTTTATTTTTGAACATTGTTTTTTATTGTAGTGAATAAATTCTGGTGGCGCAATGGTATAGAAAAACAGTACCTAAAAAAATATAGATCTATGACATGATGATTTGAATATAACAGTAACAACTGGCATAGTACTTTTCGATTTGATTCAATTTATTTCGTGCTCCGCGTCCCATTTTTTTTAAATGAGCGTGCCAGATATTTTTAGACACAAAAAGGTGCTCTACTGTATGGTAAGTGGCTACGATGGCGTGATGCTTTCAAATGAATTTCTTTTTTGTCCTCTACCTCATTCAGTAAAACTCCAATGCGGCGTCCGTAAGGAATAAGCAGACATCTAGCGTGCTATGGAAATTGATAACAAATTCAGATTCTCAAAAAAAAGTGCCCTGCACAGAGAGTGCTAACAGGAGGCTTCAATGTGACATTTTCGGTGATTTCTCAATTATTTTCAAAGATTTTTAGACACCAAAAGGGGAAACATTGTCTCTGCTGTTTCTCACCGTTCCGGGGGTCCCAATGGTGAGCCACGAATTTGAATCGCCCGGTCTGTCTGTATTTTTCACGAAATTTTACCAACGCAATTTGAATTTCACGAAAAATTGCATTTTTTAAAACATTATTCTATAAACCAAAAATGAAGCCACGTTCTAAAGTAGGTGTACTATAATGGTAGTTTCAAAGAATCGCTTGGTATTTATTTTTAGAACCCCAACAATCCTTTTAACTGCGCTCTTCCTGCAAAGTGGAAGACAAGGGAGGCCTGTACATATTTTACGTGGGACGCTCAAAGCATGCATTTCCAGAACAGCCTAATAGTCCAGTCAATCTATCTAGCGTTTCCCCATAGAAAGCGTTAATAGCGTATTTGTAGAACTAGAGAAGAAAGTGGAGTTTTTCAACTTGTTGCAAGTTAAAAAACACTTTCTTCTCAAGTGTTACACATAAGAATTTTTTCTGAAACTACAATCAAAATTATCGTATGCAATAACGAAGTATGACACACAGCAATCTAGATATGGGTATGTTTCAATTTTAAATGTCATGATTTTAACGCAGCAATTGTTTTTTACTTTCCTCACTAGAGAGGAAAATTACATTTTCTTCACCCTTTTTAGAGACTAAAGTAGTTTCAGAAACATTTCATTTCCGTCGTTGAAAAAATAACCAAGTTGGAGTAGAAATTCAAAAAATGCATCTCGAAAATGTTAGTTGAACCAATCGAGGAAGAAAACGTTCCATTTTGTCTTTAAATTTGATGTGGGAACGTATCCCTATTTATTATTTTGTATTTTTCGACGTCGATTACGCTCGAGCGTCAGCTGATGCACACGCCACCTCGATTTGAGGTCGTGCTACGGAATTAATTTAAATGAGCCAATGAGCGTCCAGTTACCTCCACGACAAATCAGCTGACGCTTGACGTAATCAATCGTTTTAAATAAATTCGCGGTCATTTTCGGAGATGCATTTTTTGATATGCTAATCAGCAGATTACTTCTGCATGTTATATTTTCATCGACAGAAATCAAAATCTAAAACCACGGTACTATAGGTCCTTTTCAGAGCTTGTTAGGCGCTCTCGAGATCTAGTTATAAAATTTATTGGAAGATGCAAACTGCGGAAGCGTCTTCAACGCTCTGCAAATGGTTTAAAAAGATTTGAGAAAGGCCTATGATGTGCTGGAACTTATGCCCTTATACCAATGAGTGTATTTGGAACTGTGGAAAACTTATTCTAGAACCGGTTTTCCCTGTAACTAGACTCGATCGGATCTAAGGCTTTCGAAAGCTCTACAAAGGACTTAAGCGAGTCCGTATAAATCATTTACAATTATCTACGAAGTTCTGAACAGCATTAGTATATGGTCCCATTTCTCTCAAAAGCCTTTCAGAACTTCAAAACGCTTTCCAAAGAGACTAAACATCTTTTAGAGCGTTCAAAAATGTTCCAAAATATCGAAAGCTGTCTTATGTAGGTACATTTCATTGTTTAATCACAGCGAACAATTTTTATCCGCACATATAGGCACGAGAGGAATATTGAGAATAAGCACTGCACTCAAGTTGGGTTTCGCGCTAAAAAAAATGCATCTCAAAACTCGATAAGAAATTTTATTTGAGAAAAGACCCAAAAATTTAAAATTGTAGGACAAATGTCTTTTGGTGCTCGGATTAACAGAGCCGTTTTGCTTGATAAGCGATGCGACCACCCTTTGTTATATTTTTGGTGGGCATAATTTTTAAGATTATATCCTGAAGAACTGGCTGAATTGGGAAAAAGTACGCTACTTTGATACTACCAAATAATATATCAAAATCCACCTGTTATTACATTTAATTTCGCTTTATCAATTTCAACGTTCGCGTCGCGTAGATAACGACGCACACATGTGAGAAGTGGCCTGTTGAAAAGTAGTCCGGTATTTTATGTTGATATTCAAATTAGTTGCAATTCAAACGTGCGCGCGGTAATGTGTTTCTGCAGTCGACAAAATCTGTAAGTTAATTTTAATTATTAGTTGTTATTACGTGGATTTTTTACAAATCGCGGTGCCAAAATATCTAATTCTTAATAAACGAAAGAATTAAAATGTCGCGGACTAAAACGGTTAAGTACAAAGAAGGAAAAGAGTTTTTAGCCTTCACCACTTTACAAATCTTAGTTTACGGCGCATTCTTGAATATATTAGAATAAAAAATCTATGAGAAAGTCAAAATCCTTACCAAAAGGAACACCATG